TGATTATCCTAATTATATTTTAGATTTTTTATATTTAAAATAAGATGTTTATCCTGTATTTGATTGTGTTTATCTGCAGTTAGTTATACGAATTCAGTTATGGGATGAAATCGGATAGGGATAAACAGGTTTAAGAGTTTTAAGAGTTTAAGAGTTTTTAAGAGTTTTAGCCAAATGCATTATAATATAGTATAGATTATGATGGTTTTATAAATTGTAAAAAGTTACGTTTTATATTACCATCAAGGCATCAGACATAATATTGTTGTAACTTTCGGTGTTGGTAATTACAACATGAACCAACCTGTCAAAATATTGCATCAGTGGTACTACATATAAATACCGTCCGACCACTCGCTGCCCAGCCCAGATCGCTAGAATCGCCAGATAGAACAAGAGAGGGCGCGGTTGGGCGGTGCTCTCTCGCAAGAAAGATCAGGTAAGCAAAACCTATTCTCCCAATTCATTCCTCATAATCAATCGACGGTTTTCGATGCCTTTCAACTTATGTTATCAACGTTTCTAGGGTTTTAGAATCGGACGACTTTCTTCACTTTATTGATTGCATGGACGAGGAGTTCGAAAGTTTAGTTCCTATCTTTCTTTTTTGTGGTTTTTGAATTTGATCATGCAAACGCGTGTTTGCGTGTCAAGACTGAATCTTGATGTTTGATATCGGGTAATTTGAGTTAGAATTGGTTGCTATGGCTGATTAATTTTGAGGTTTCTACTTTATTGAGTGATGAAGTTATTTCAGTGCAGTTGGTTTTCTTATGCCCCCTCCAATTTCTGATGTTGTTAAAATGGCCGTGCAACAATCGGTGTTGATAAATTCTCACGGGTTCTTGAATCGCAATGGATTGGGTAGAGGATCCCCAGTTAATGCTAGTGTAATAGCGTTCATTTCATTACTTTACAAATATTTGCCAATTGATTAGTTGCATAACTTATGCCCCAATTTTGACGAATTGGACACCAAGGAATTGAATAGAGGATGCACAATTCTCTATGTTATAGGAAGAGATCAAGAAAATGCTCTATTACATCCAATTTCTGTGGTATGTAGTGGTTTGATGATTCCAGTCATCATTGAATTAGTATCATCTACCTGATTATAGTGGCCATACGTCTGATGATTAACTGTTGTGTCTTGTGATAATATATTGTCAGGAGTGGACTGATTATGCCAACCCTCAATGACTTCTTCATCCTAGGCTGAATTATAGTGACCATACATCTGATAATTAACAAATGTGATAATACATAGGGGAAAAGATTTAAAAATCCTAGGATGAGGACTAACGCATACACAATTTTGGATTGGGAAACTGAATTTCTAGCTTTTTCATGTTTGTATTAATTTCCATTTATTTAATTGATTGTGTATCTTCTTAGTTTCTCTTATATTGCTTTTGAAGGGGTTGGATGGAGGCTTTATTGTATGCAAATGAGAGAATTTGAGATTCACTTCAGATGTGGGTGTAGAGTGTGTCATTAGAGACTTCATAACCAGACATCTTGTTATTACTAGATGTTTATTCATTTTGTTGAGTACTTCAATTGCTTATTGTTTTTTATTGAACTATTGAGTTGGCTTGTCTATAACTACATAAGACCGGAGTTAGCGTACCTTTTGGTTAGATTGTTGAAAGATACAAGTCCAGATGCCTAGCTGGCATGTAAACGCTTTATCCCAACTTTCTTTGCCTGATCGCCCCAAGCTAAAAAAAATTCATTTTAGTGTTTGAGTATTTTGAAGATTGCTACCCTTGACTCGTGTTTATCATGTCTTTCTATGCCCATTTTTAGGCTATGGAATTGTCAGTCACATCTGAAAGACTGAAACCATTTGCTAGTCTTAAGTTCATGCATGCATGCTTGAGGCTTGTTTTTTTTTTTTGTACAACTCAAATGTGTTCCCAAATGATCTATATCATTAATATCTAGTTTATTACAGGCTTTGGGTGGGACATTGAGACTATGGCAAGTAATCATGGTGGTAAGGATGTTATGGATTCTGGGAGCAGCGAGGGTAACAGTTCGGAACCCACTGTTGAGATAAAGATAAAGACTTTGGATTCTCAAACATACACTCTGCGAGTAGATAAATGCGTAAACACTATTTTTCTTTCCTTGTTATTTCAGCATGTCTTGTTTCCATCTGTAATCTTTTTTCAATTGAATCTTTTAGTTTTAAGTTGTTTACACATATCAATGAAGGATCATTCTGTCCATTTGTGATATGTCATCAAAATCTTCTGTGGAAACTGTTTTCACATTGTCCTTTGTTTGGTGCCAATTTGGACGTGTGTGGCAGAAATTTATATATATATATATATATATATATATATATAGTCAATCAAGAATAAAGTAGCCTTCCGATCATACAAAGTTGAACTGTCACCCGTTCTTGCTCTTCAGTAGATAGGATTATAACATCCCAAGCAGCATTGACAATGATAACAATGAAACAAATCTAACCCACACCAATAGATGCAGAAAGTTGGGGGGGGGAGTTAATTGTTGTCGAATGTTGAAGTTATTTACGGGGAAGGTTGGTTTCATCTCCCCTTCCCCAGTCCCTTCTGTTCGAGATTGTGGAATGGTTTCACATATTGGATAATACTTTTGGACCCGTTTAAGTACGTTGGTCAATGTGGTAAGTTTATCTTTGCTTCCAGAAGCTGCTGGCAGGTAATCATTTCTCTGTGTGTTTCTTAAGAAAGAAAAGAAATGGTCATCTCTACAAAAAGTCCCATTTCAATATTGCTTTATAGTTGTTCCTGACTTTTTGCAACTTATTTGCTTAGCTACATCATGTTTGTTTCCTTGTTTGTGTTTTCTTTAACCTGTGTCTCCTTACAGGTACCCGTTCCTGCACTCAAGGAACAGATTGCTTCTGTTACTGGTGTATTATCTGAACAGCAACGTTTAATCTGCCGTGGCAAAGTTCTGAAGGATGACCAGCTCCTCTCAGCTTACCGTATCCTTCTCCATATTTTAAATAACTAGACTTAGCATGAATAGCTATATGGCAACCCAGAATTCTCAGCCTACCAATTTCTTTCCCATATTTAAACTGTTAATTCGTAACCTTCGGATATGTCCAGTTGCATGCATGCTTGATGCTTGTCCTTTACTGCATCTGTTGATCCTTTATGAGCACTCTACCAACCGCAAACAAATATACATAACTTATTCCTTCTTGTAGTTTCCTATGATCAAGATAAGGTCTCGTCTTCACAACAGAAGTTTAATGCATCTGTGGTCTGGTGTTATTTTAATCGCTATTTGAGTTATTTTTCTTTCTTTTTGCTGTATCTTATGGAACACAAGGGTCTTTTTGAGTTGGATGTGTTTGTGAAATGTAGTATTATGTTCTGAAGCAGACCTTAAATAAGGTAATGTAGATAACTGAAACATTTATGGTCTCGTTGTAATTGTTCTTATGGTTTCATGGACACAGTTAGGGGAAAAGGTCTTCTCTTCCCTCAAGGAATCAGAATTATTTTGGTGCAAGACTTGCCTGTTTACCATCTATTCATTGGGAGGAGTTTTATAGTAACTTAAACTATTGCATGTAAAGTAAGCTGAACCATTGTTAATTGACTCGTTCTTTGGTATTTACAGCACACAATTAAGGGAGTTGCAGGGTTGCGCTTTCTGGGCCAATAGACACTTTCTATTTTCAATTGTTCGTCCATTGGAAGAAAAAATTATATGATAGCGATCTAGCACATCTTCCTTTAATGAAATTAGGTCGGTATGTTGACGCCTTCTTCTCTGTTTTTTTGTGGTAAACAGCAAGCAGTTGAGATTTGATAATGGTTCTTGTTGGCAACATTGTAAAAGCTTGTATATCTTTGAATTTTGTTTTTCATGTTTGTTTGTTTGAAAGAGTTTCTTCCAGCTTCATCATGAATAAATTCTTCATTGCATTTTGATACTGAAGCTCCTTAATGAGTATGAATTATAGATGTGGAAGATGGTCACACACTGCACCTGGTTGCTCGACAGCCGATGAACCCGTCATTAGCAAGCTTTCCTGATCATACAGGTTTGCTGACTTCTAAGCTTTCTTATCTTTCTCTTCAAGTTAAGTTTGCATCAGAGGATACTTCATTTGTTTGCAAAAATACCTTAGATCATATCCCTATTCCCTCATAAACTAGGTGAAGGTCTAGTTCCTGAACCATGAATCTGGTATCAGGTACATGCTTTCTATGCTCATGCAGTTTTCCTTTTCTATCTTGTTATGAAGCTCTAGTGCATGACAATTAAAATTGCCACATAATGCTCTAGAGGGACAAGTAGTAACCTAACCAGCCTATGTTGGTGGAAAATTGGTGATGCTTAGTGGTGACCTGTCTAAAAGTTAAAGAAGTTGCTCTCTTTCAGTCTTTTATTCTAGTTATCATATCTTCAAAGATGACAATATTTGTGCATATGAAAGAAAGACTGTAAATCTTCACTGTTTCGTAGGAATTATTCTTCCACTGGATTTTCTTTCTGTGACTGTGAGGTTACGTTTTTTTGCTTCTATATGCATCATGTGGTTGGATGAGGATCATTTCCTACTAATTGCTCTAACAGATTGCCATTCTAGACATTTCGTTGAATGTCATACTGCTTTATATTTTCAAATGGTGCTGTCTGATACTCTGGTGAGCCATTCTAGTTAGAGCAATTTAGGATCTGATGGATGGGTTTTTCCTGCTCTCTCATAGCATTTTGTTTGTTTTTTGTGCCAAGAACACCTTAGGTTTGTTACTCATTTTATTCCAAAAGTAACCACCAAACTCACCATTTAACTCCATGTATAAACAAGCGAGTTAATGAACATTCTCTCTTCATCGAAAAGAAAAAAATGTTGACTTTGTTGTTGTTGGTAACTTTGGTTGTTGCCATAGATTCTCTTTTTGTAGGTTCCTTTTCGTTTTTTGTTATTTTATTTTCCTTCTGTTTGGGGCTTTTTTCCAGAATTTATCTTGAGCCCAAAATATGTTGCATTTTCAGCAAGTGATCCAGCATCAAGTACCAGGCAGCATCAACATGGCCCGAGTGTTGTAGTTGGAACATTCAATATATCTGAACAAGGCGATGGCAGTATCCCAGATTTTAGTCGGGTAAGACTATGACAAAGTATTAACCATGACATGCCCTTGATAGACATTTAGCTGAAGTAATTGTTTTGTGGTGTTCCTTATTATGGTAGATTGTTTCAGCTGTTCTTGGCTCCTTTGGCATAGCAAATGCTGGAAGTGGTAGTGAAGCAGTAGATTTGCATGTAAGTGGCCACTAATAAAATTCATCCTCTGCTTACCATTCTGAAGTTTATACTGTTGGAAGAAAGCCTGAGGGATTCGTACCATGCTTTCCATAATATTGAATTCTAGAATGTATAAGGAGCCCTTCTAGAGAAAGTTCTTTATCATTTTATATTAGTTTTCATTTCATTTTTTGTAACAAGATTTCACCTTGTTATAATTAACAATCATCTTGGTATAATTTCCTTTGGGTTCTCTTTAAGCCTACCCCAACTAATTTGGGACAAGGGCTTGTTATTGATAGATATGACCGTAAAAATTCATGTAGCACACATAACTATTACATATGTTTGTGGATCTATGTTAAGAGATTTATGCTTGATGCTTCTGGTGATGTTGTTGCCATTAACTTGGCAATGCCTTTAAGCAGACCTACAATCAAGATAGATTTGTGGTGAACACTTACTCGTTGGTAACTATTAGGGTGTAAACACTCTTTTGCTCAATATTACTTTGTTCACCAGCAACACATCTCTGAAAGGCTTTCGCGGATACCTGGTCTTCATGACATAAGAAATTCCACCGGACAACAACCTGATGATGCTTCTGGAAGGGGTCAACCTAATCCTCAGAATGCTGCTTTCACGCTTCCGACTGATGTTTCTATGGAATCTTTGCAGCTCCCTGTAAGTACAATATTTTGATTTTTATTCAAAGCATCATTTTGTTAAAGCCAATCCTTATTCTCTTGATAAATGCTTGCAGAGTAATAATCCTTGTCTTCTCACTTTAAAAAACTTCTTTGGGATCATATCATCCATTTTGCAGAACTTTTGAATTTTGATCATTCTTTCTTTACCAAGTGATTTCTTTCATCTTTCTATATTAAGCTTGTTTACTTGATTATCATTCGTTTCTCATTTTTATAAGGACCTGAACAACTTGTTCAAATCTAGAAGGTAAAAAACACGAACAGCATTAAGATCTCCAGAAACATGGATGTTCACTTTATCATGTGAAGTGTGAACAAAATGGTGGAGTTTCTGAATCTGTTTCTGCAGTGCCAGTAACATTACCAGCAATTGAGTATGAACTGATTAAAATATTTCCGTGACAGGTTATTCCTGATTCTTTGAGTACCTTGTCCCAGTATCTAAGGCGTTTGAGGCAAGAATTCGATGACAATGGTCAGAAATCCTTCCTCCTTAATTTTTTAGACACTATTGAGTTGCTTATTCAGTTGTTTATGATGTGAATTTGATTCTTGGTGTTGGCAGTTAGAATCCAAGTCAATAGTTCTCAGTCTCTTGGTGCTGGGAATGCTGGAGAAGAGTCAAATGCCTCACCACATTCAGGTTCCGGTCAGGGAGGGTTACCAACACCAGCAGCCTTGGGAGAAGTGACACAGTCTGCTAGACAATTACTCATTGAACAAGCTGGAGAATGCTTGATGGTATGTACTAAACGTTGCAAGTACCTTCATTAGCCCCGTGTTAGATTTATTCTGTCACTTGATCAGTTGCTGTAGTTTCTGTTTGATCCTCATTAATGGGACCTACAAGTTGTAAGATTGTATTGTTTAATGGTAAAGTTTGATTACCATTAACCCTCAGAGTATTTAACGAGTCTCTCGGTTTGATTTTGTTCATCTTCTAAAGGGGCCCCCCCTCTGCACCTAGCACCTGTCCTATCCGATGCTGCAAGAAATTTGATCTACTAAGGAACCCATTCATTACTAATCTTGTATTTCTGCAGCAATTGACGAGACAATTAGGGGATCAAACGAATGTGACTGATCCTGTAGTACGGTCAAGAATGCAGTCAAATGCTTTGAGGTCAGGGGCTCTTTTGCAAAATTTGGGTGCTTTTCTGCTGGAGCTTGGTCGAACAACCATGACACTTCGGATGGGACAGTCACCGGTGTGTTTAAGTTTGTTATTTGCATCTATAAGACATTAAGTGGGTTGTCTTTATGTTCTTCACTTTTGTTATATCAAGCATGAAAAAGTACTTTTTTCTTCCAGACTGATGCTGTGGTTAACGCTGGACCTGCTGTTTTCATATCCACATCTGGTCCAAATCCCATAATGGTCCAGGTAATCAATTTGTTCTACAATCGTAGCAATTTTGGCTTTCCTTCCTATTCTTATTTCCTGCCTTGGTTTAATTCGATGCCAAGCGAAGAACCTTAACAGGGTATTTAACCATGTGCAGCCTCTACCCTTTCAACCTGGAACTAGTTTTGGAACGACACCTGTTGGGTCAGGCACTAATTTTTCTGTCGGTTCTGGTGTACGTCCAAGGAATATAGATATCAGAATACGTACAGGTACTATTCTGATTTATAATTTTATAGTATAATTGTGCATTTAACCAGTGTTACATGTGTAGCTTTTAACTGTGGCATGTTTCAGGTTCATTGTTGTCCTCAGCTGTTAATCAAAGAGATGCAAGCGTCGGAGAGCGCTCAGCAACTGATCCACTAGCTTCTGATGGTGGAATTTCGGACCATCAAGCTACCGTTAGAAATTTGCCTCCAACCAGGGGATCTGATGTGCGGGTAGTTCCCATTAGGATTTCTACAGTTCCACCTGGACTTGCACATTCTGAATCATCCCGAAGTTCTATGGGTGTGCTATATCCCATGCTAGCAAGAGCGCAGCATGCTGATTCTGGAAACCTAAATGGTGTTAATGGTGGCCAGGCATCGAATGGCAGTCACCCGCATAGTGGTGAAAATAGACCACATTTAGTCCCTGATTCTGCAGCTCAGCAACAGCCACCTGAGACCCCTGCAATTCCTGGTATCTTGCAATTACTTTGATATGTCTTATGTGTGCGTTTTTATTTTCGTTCTTTCTCTCTCCCAAAATATGTGTCCACTTTCTGGTTCTACCCTTAATTGTGATATGGAGAAATTTATTACCAACTTCATTATTAAGGGTAAAATTGCCATTTAATTAATTAAAAAGTATACTAAGGGGCCATTTGGTTGGCTTTCCATTAAGTCTTGTATGAATAAAGTTGTTTGTGTGAATTAATCTGTCTATATAGATTGAGAAGGTTTTTGTTTGGGAGGTTTGTTTTATAGATGAAAGGAGTGTTTTTTTTTTTAATTTGGGAGGGCATATTTGGCAAAAAATAATAGCTTTCTGCATAAAGGTCCCTCCTAGAAGCTTACCCAATAAGCCACTTTCTATATATCATTGTCGTTACCAAACAACCATGTATATCTGACCAAATAAGTTGTGATTCCCATTAAGCTCATTAAGCTGCTAACAAGGCCCCAAGTATAGTCAAAGACCTTCCAGCCTAGTGGTAAAGGCTTGGGCATGGCATAGTCATGAACCCGAGTTCGAGCCCTGGGAGGGGAGTGTTGGCGACATTTAAGTGGGGCCATGTTTAGCCTCCAAATTTGCCGGGGATTAGTCGGGCTTTGGCCCGGACACCCTTACAAAGTATACATTACTAAGGGGATGCTTGGTTGGTTTTCTGTTAAGTTTTGTATGGATAAAATGTCTATATAGATTGGGAAGATTTTTTTTCATAGATGAAATGAGTATGTTTTATAATTGGAAAGGGCGGATTTGGGAAAAAAACTTGGCTTTTTGCATAAAGCTCCCTAGAAGCTTACTAAATAAGCAGTTTTCTATATCATTATGCCACTACCAAACACTCATGTATAGTTGACCGAATAAGTTGTGAGTTCCATTAAGCTCATTAAGCTGCACAAACAAACCCTAAAACCGTGACTTTTTTATTGTGGACATTTATTTTTGGGATGGAGGGAGGTCTTCTGCTGAGAGAGAGAGGTAAGAAAGTTGCTTTCTGAAAAATTGGGATTGTATTATTGTTAAAGAGACTTTTTCGTAGTAGGCGAAGGATCGTGTGAGAAGGAGAGTTAATGTGAGAAGCATAAGAAGGATCTGGACCCTTGATCACCTTTAATCTCAAACCCACCCATGAATCACGCTTGATACGGGAATTGATCTGGTGCATCTCGGTATTCTTACGCTTCTCACCTTAACTCTTGGACAGACGTAGGCTTGTGGTATAGGTGGCGCGTGCCACCGTATTATTTCTCCGCCGAAGGGTAAAAAAAATAGGTTTCGTGAACTGTGCAACCGTATTAATTTGTTGTGTGCCACCGTATTTATTTTGAAACTACAATGAGAACAAGTTTTATTTGGTAGAGTTGATTTGCAAGGCTTTTATTCCACCCCACACCCAAGTTCAAATCTTGTTAGTGTCATTTTCTTAGTCAAATGGTGTCACCGTTTGAAAAAAATTCCGTATATTTGTTTCTTATAGTCAAACGGTGCCACCGTTTGAAAATTTTCCCAATATTTTTTTTCTTATGGTCAAATGGTGCCACCGTTTGAAAAAATTTCTGGGTCTGTCCTTGCCTTAACTCTCCTCACCGGAACCAAGCCTGGCTTAGTAATTGAGAAAGTAGATTTGCATTATACTTCAAATTTCATCTACAACTAATTGAAAATGTAACTCTTAAAAAGTTACTCCTTCCATCATATAGACGAGTTCACTTTTGTTGGCATTTTAGTTTCAAAATCGTTTTATTATTATAATAAAGTTTAATGTGATAATCATTAATCTACAATGAGAACCATTTTAATTTCCAATTTAAAGAACTCGCCTGACACTTCAAAGTCAAATGTGGACTCTTATAATAAGCTGCAATTCACATGTGAAGACTTTGATTCAGGTACAACTCATGGTGTATTGCATTCTGATCAAAATTCTGCTGGAGAGGTTCCCAATGGACTCGGTCAACTGCTGAGAAACTTATTTCCTACCGAGCAGAACCATGGTAATGACTTCATCTTTCAGGGAATGGGTGCTGATTCAGTCTCTGGGAATGTTGAAACAAATCCACAGGAAGCACCAAGGGTCAGCGATGAAGGAACTTTTCTCGCAAATTTGCTGCACCAGATTATGCCTATTGTGTCCCAGCACATCAATGGAGCTGATGATTCATCTGAGCAAGGTGCTGCCATGGAGGATAGAGCGACACAACCTTCTTCAAGCGTAAGTCTTACTATGCTAACTGAATATAGTTGGTAGAGTTAAATTTGAATTGCAACCCACTGAGGGTGCATTTGGTATTCGGACCGGATTGGATGGGGGAGAGTAGGTAGGTGGGTGAAAGAATTGTTAAATGTTTTTACGGTTTTAATTTGACATGGGTAGTTTAGTAATTTATCAATCTTGTCCCATCTTTCTAGTTTTTGTTCCACTTATCTTGGTGGCATTTTTGTCCCACTCAGTTTCATCTTGTCCTTAGTGTAATGTAGCGCCAAATGTGGGACAACAAGTTTTTTCTTGTCTCGTTGGTATCTAGGTAGGGCAGAACATGACAGAACGGTTGTTTGAACGTTGATAAGATAGAACTGGACATGATAGAACAGATAAAATGACCAATTTACCCCTATTGAGTTGTTTATATCTTTTATATATTTTGATTAATTTATGTAACTTATTAAATTATAGTAAAATAAATATTTTTACAACAAAATATATCATTAGAAAGTTTTTATGAAGCCAATTAAAAGGACACCAAAATAAAAAGTTTATGTAGTTTCCAATTTTTATTTTATACATGCTCAGTATTATTTTATTATTATTAATATTTAATAAATTACATAAATTAACCAAAATATGGAACCCGTATAAAATTAATATTTTAAGGACAGTAAAGTGAAAGTTTAAAGAGCATAATATACAATAAGTAAAATTTAAAGAATGAATAAAATGTAAAGATAGAGGCATATTTGATATTTTAGAAGAGAATTGGGTTTTATTTTGAGGTTATATTGCTTAAATATAGATATGTTCCACCTTGTTCCATGGGGTGGGGGTGTTCCACACGTCTGTTCCACTTTGTTCTATATAAAAGTCCTGTCAAACATAGAACAACGATCCTTGATTTGTTCTGTCTGGTCCTGTCAGTTTGTGTACCAAAAGCACCCTTTTAGTCTGTGTACCAAGCGCACCTTGATTTGTGACATCAAATGCAAGGTTATCTTCTTTTGACACTCTGATGCATGAACGTTGCATATATATGTATGTATATGCAGGTTGGGGAGATCCAAGATAGAGGTGCATCTTCAAGGCAGCCGGGTGATCCAACATCTCCTCCATCTTCCAAAAGGCAAAAGGTACTCTTCAAACCGTCTTTTCCTTGGTCTTGTCCTAGATTTTTTTAAGTATATAATATTTATATATCGCAAATACCCTGCACACCCCTCACCTTAGTGAGGTTTGAACCCTAGACCTCCCGTGAGGTTGGGCTCTACGGGCCAATGACCCTTTTGTTCTAGTTTACGCTATTCTTAACAAATTTTTCACTCATGATGCAGACAGAATAAGTAATGGGAAGAGCAAGTTGAAGCCTCTGGCCTAGACGAACAAAAGATGGCTTTCTACATCGGATATCAAGATCCACATATGTGGTTGGGTCGACCAAATTTCAGTCGGCCATTGCAGCCATAGATGAGAACCCGACTTCAATACATATATTCCTTTCCTTTCATTCCGCCGAATCAGCCTGCAGAGGGTAATCTTTTTGTTTGTCTGCTCAAATGTTAAGTAAAACAATTGCATAGAAATAACATTACATTGCTGTTGATTGTTGTTCATTTGATTTATATAATGTCCAGAGGGATTTTATTTGGGTAAGGATTTGAGAGCCAATTGGTTTTAAAATGTTCTTTTTTCTTGGTCTTGTTAGTGGCTACCTATATTTTTCTCATAAGAAGCAAAGTCTTGTACTTCTCTTAAATGTTCTTGGATTCTTCATTTGGCTTAGTGGCCATTTACCGGATGCTTAACTGGTAAGCGCTTACCAGGTCACTTATCTTACTGGATGAACATGACAGGGATCGAGAATCTTACCCAGTAAGAGCGATGTCAAGGACCGAGTCTTGTCTGGTGAGGGTGACGACTCTTACCCAGTAAGCGCTTACTGAGAAAATTGTTGCATATGATGTTTTACCTTGTAGTGTGGACGACTTTTACCGGTAAGTGTTCGGGTAAACAGCCCCTTAGTTATAACCTTACAACCAAGTTTTAGTTCTATTAACTCATAGATGTGTCGGTCTTATATAAAGCGTTAGTCGACTAATGTCTTAGCATTGCAGGAACTATTTAATTGAATTACCAACGTCCTAGGACGTAGAATAGTTGATTTCATTGTTTTAGGGTGGTATACTTGTACAAACAGACTGATATTTGAGTCTTGTAGCCGTAGCATGGGAGTTGCAATCCGTTTGGGGATTGGATTCCTTGTGGGCTATGCAGTTGTAGTGCTAAATATGTGAAGTAGTGGTCAAGACCATGATTTGATATAGCGGTTATCATTATAATAAGGATTAGTATTAAAGACAAACATAACAGATTAAAATATACTGAAGACGATGGTCTTGATCTCGAGCGAATATCTGAAGAGTAGAAGATGATGGTGTAGGAAAAGAGATGAGAGAGGAATAGCGTGTTTTCATATTCATATTGCATGTCAGAATCGACAACCTAATCCGTAATCCATCAACGTCGCTAAATCTTTCACTAAATTCTTAGCTTAAATGTATAAGCTTACCCAATCTCCAACGTCCTCCACCTATTGAAAATCAAATCATTTTTAATTTTTAATTTCTAATTTACACTTTATACTTTTATAATTAGTTATTTAATTTATTTTAAATTCCTTATTAATTTTTTTTTTCATTTTATACTCTTATCATATTAACATAAATAATCGTATATAAACTAAAATGCATCAAAAAATATTTATGTTTTTACAAATTATACTATGATAACCGTATCGTCAATACCTTCAAAATAAGACATACGAATTACTTCGTTTTATAATTTTCACGTTTTCATTTTTTATTTTACACTTTTATCATATTAAAAACACATAATCATAGATTAATTAAAACACATTAAAAATGTGTTGCTTTTTTTTTGTTACAAATTATACTATTATAATTTCAGATGATTTTGATTGCTTAACTTTTATTGTCATACAAAACTAGGGGTGAGCAACGGCCATGTCGAGTTGGATCGGACTTCAAAACATAAAATGATTTATTCACTAAACTTTTGAAGGAGAACTCTACACAAAAAACCAAAAAATTTCCAAACTTGTCTTTTTCAATTTAAAAGCAATTGCCTCTTATTTATAGGAAAACCCTTCTCAATCTATGTATATAAAGGTGGGAAATTAATAGAATTAACCATTTTCAGACTTTGAATTCATCTCTTAGTCATTTCTATTCTCAAATTTCAAAAATATCACTACTTCCGTAAGTGGCATCTTCTCAATTTACGAAGAGATCAAATTGTAAAAAGAAATTTTGAACCAGGTTCACAAGTTTAAGTACCAAATCTGTAAATTTGATGAAGATTAAGTTACACTTCCGAACTTATAAAAGTGTTAAAACTAATTTACAAATTTGATCCACTTATTCGATTTTTTTAACACTTACTTTTACATAAGTTGAGGAGGTGCCAACAATGACATTTTTAATTAATTTTTCTATAAAGATAAATCGAGATTAGATGAAAAAGAAATAGAAAAAAAAAAGGAGGCAAATACTTTTTTAATTGACCAATGGAGGCCATCTATGTTCCCCGCTACAGTTGATACCACGATAGCATTCCTAGCTGTTATTCACAATCAACGGCTAGAAACAATCAGATGAAAAATCAACGGTGGATACTGCTCCATCGTTTTTTATTGGTCAAGGGACCAGTCTTAGGTCAGCCTTTCTTCTCGAACTACTACCAACACTTGTCTTCTTCCCCTTTTCATCACTGGTCACACACACACACTCACCATTCCTACTGTGTGTGTTGAAGCATCTGCCATGGAATTTCTTCATGTTTTAAATGTTGGCTAGTACACGATCATCGTGTGTGGATGGTTTGAGCTGGCTTTGAGCTCGTTGGGCATGGATAATCATTGGCAGGCGAACAAATGTGGTTCGATGTGGCAGTCATCGGCGCAGCCGGAAGTCGTAGTGGCTCCGTCTCCGGTTTCTCAAGTTCAGTCACAGGAATCTTCTAGGAATCCGGTAATCTAAGATGCCGTTATAAATTTACTGTATTATGTGTGTGTGCTTACAGAATTACAGACTTACAGTTGTTGGCGTCCATATGCGTATGTGTTTCTCTGTTACTTCTGTTGACTCACACAACGAAACAACAAGGTTCGACTTTTTTGTACCGTACCTTGTTTCTTCGTTTCATCCGTTCATCTTCCTATTGCGGGACTGATAGTTGCTTTTTTGGAGAACTTAGAAGTTCTAAAATTTATTACAGTTTGAGTAGAAGGCTCATTTGTTCTTAGATGGAGGGATTATGCCTCTTTTAAAGTACTTGTAGTAGTGTATATAATTGTATGTGCCACTCACTGCTTGGTATATTGAGGTTATATTCAGTACAGTAGACAATGTTTGAACTATTACATGAATCACTGTAAGATTGGAACACATTTTTACACAAGGGTATTTACATAGAAAAAAGTAGCTTCTGTGAACGATGTAACAGTAATTTTGTGAATGATGTGTATGATTTTGATACAGGAGACTTTTTTTTTGAAGAAATTGATAAGAGGATACTTTATTCGTAGTCTTGTTTTCTACAATTTTCTTGATACAACCTGAAATGTTACCATAAATAAACTACTATATTTTTATTACACCAATAGGTGCCTTTTTCTCAATTGAAGGATGGCTTCTTAGCTGCATCACTAACATATCATGTTGTTTCCAAATGATGTTAGGAAGCCATATGGCTTACGTGTAGTCGTAATGCCTCCAACCCAAAGTAAATGATCCCTTCCTTTGCAACTTATGAAGGAAAATGCTCTTTTCTTTTGGAATGATTTGAGCTAAGAATTTTTAAATGCATGCTACAGATGAAAGACAATATTCACTTTAGTGAGATTGCATTAGAGTTCTTTAATCTTACGGGCTTATGAGTTAACAATATGGTTATAATCATTGATAAAGAGTTCCCAATAGGTTGTTTGTGCCATTATTGACAAAGAGTTTTCCTTTTGAATACAAGTGTTCTATCCCCGAAAAAAGAAAAGAAAAATGATGTCTCCATAGTGATTGAATGTCATTTCCTTTAAACAGCAGCCCTTGTATTGTAAAGCGAATAAGAATGGCTCCTTCCACATATATCGAGTTGGAATTTTAGTTAAAAGTGCAACAAAATGTGAGTGTGCCTATTATCATATGCAAGATTGCTCTACTCATAATGTGAATTAATTGGAAAGAAGAAATGACTTCTGCTGGAGACTCTTGTGGAACTTTCATTCCTTATGTTGCCTTGTATATGCGTATATATTTCATAATTAGAAATAATTCTTTTTTGTGACTTGTTTAAATAAAGGCAAGTAATGCAAATATTTCTGAGAGATTTGTTTATGTTTGACATACAACTTTGAACAACTTTGTTGTAGATGAACAATGCAAGTCATTACTCTTATCGACATATTGTGCAAGAACCATGTTCGTCAACCCGTAAAATGATGAATGGTCCCTTGTTTCAACCTACAAGTTTCAATCTATACAACTCTGGCCTCTCAGTGACCGGCACTTCATTTTTTACTCTCCTTTCTGGACCACCGCCGTTCTCGCAATATGATTCTCAACAGGTTTTGAGCTCAAAGCCATCCAATCCAGCCAGTAAAGTTCATGTCTACAATAGCAGCGCTGTTGTTGGACCCACAGAACACGAAGCTTCATTTGGTTCCCCTGAGCTATCATCTCAAAACATTGATAACAGCTACCTGAAGTCCAAAATTGATACCTGTCCAGTTGTTCCAATCAGGATTTTGGCAAGTGATGGTGGAAATACTACTTGTTTGCATGATATTGTGCAGGCTAGAAAAGTAAGTGATCCAAGCTTAGTGGTTGCTAAGGCAGCCAATTATCACACCTCTCATGGCATTGAACAATTGAATGGCTTTTCTTCTCTGAAAGATGCTCCGATTTCTGGTCCAACCCCAGCTCAGAGTGGGAAGCTTCACAGCTCATCCATTCCTCATCAACCATCTCCTCTTGCAAATGGTTTACCACGCGTGTTTTGTCTGTATGCAAGTGAGTGTTTACACTATCGTTGTTGCTAGAATAGAGCATAGTCATTGCATGATTTGCTGATGACCTCTAATTCTTGATTTTCATATTTGAAAGGTGGTGATCTGTTTCTCAGCAATAGTGGACTCCTTGGAGTTGTCTGTTCATGCCATGGTTTTCCCATGTCAATCTCCAAATTTTCGGAGGTAGTTTTTGAAGATGTGTTTTGTGGATTCATCATTGAATCGTATAAAGATGTTTATCAATCAAATGTTATGGTTGATTCTGACTGCTACTTGCCTGCAGCATTCAGGTTTGCGAGATGTTAATCCTGGAGATGCCATCCATATGGACAGTGGTGAGACCATAGCTCAGTGGCGAAAGGCTTACTTTTGTAAGTTTGGGGTAAGTTCTCCTGAGAATTTGATCTCTATGTCATCTGATGCTGCTGATGTCTTCCAAATTTTATTTGCTCTTGTGTTAGTTATCCTATGCCATATTTGTAGCATCCAGTACTTGATTTATGTGCATGGATTGACAGTTAGTTATGCTGTGTACTCCCAACATCAAGGACAAATCTGTTGATTGCATTTATATTTGAGATTGTTTGACTTATCAGGGATAAATTTTGAAACAATTTTCTTCTATATAGAACAGTGGATTTTTTAGGGAAGGAGGCCTCTTTGAACAACAGTGTATGGAATTGATGATTCTCCCAATAGAGGACTACTTAGGGTTGCCCTTGACTTTTTTCCTCAATACTGTAATTCCCAAATAAATTTTTGTTATCCATCCAGGCACATTACGTATGCCTGTATTGTTGGGTGTTACAGTTGTACCCAAGTAATAACTTTTGACCTTTGTGTTTTTGATTTTGACCATGAAATTTCTGTCTAGGAAACATGCTTAACTTTTTCCAGTAATGTGCTATTTTGCTTTTATCTTTATTATTGAACATTCTATTTCTTATTGGCATGTTATTGAAGCACCAAGAACACTGGTTGGTGATGTTTTTATCGTGCTTTAGATTATAATACCAGAAGATCAATGTGGATGGCACTGGCCTGAAGGATTCTCTGCAGCTGCTGATTTGGTAAAGACAAGTGAGAGGGTACCCAATGTGTCAAGAAGTTCTGATCTGTCCAATTCTGCAGGTCCTCCTAGAGCATTTGTAGCATCCAAACAGCTATTGAACAACATGGTATTTCCAAATAATCATCGCCCAAGTCAGAATTTGGTTAACGAGATCCAACGTCATGAACTCGAGAGGAACATCCATGATAATTGTAAATTATCAGATGGCTTCACTGAAACATCTCAAAGCAATTCACATAACCGGGCAGCTAACGAGATTACAGAGCAGCCTGTGTCTCGTTGTTTACCAACATCGAAGTTGGCTGGTGGCACGGGTAATGCTTTTCAATCTAGTCCAGCATGCCTTAACCCAATCTACAAGACCAAAATTGCGTTCACCTCCCAAAAAAGCCTACAAGATCTAGGAAGCCTTGGTAAAGACTCTGATAAGTTCAACGATTCAAGGGATGGTGATATACTGGAAAAAAATACAGTTTCCTCTAATATTGAGTTGAGACTAGGACAGCCCTCTCAGCAGAGTCGGACACTTGGGAAATCAAATGTATTGGGTTTTAATACTCCTCGTGTTAGCAGAGTTGGCCATCCCTTGGAATTAATTTCTTCGAAGCCGCTAATTTATAATGGTGTGTTTACTATAAGCTTGACTGCTATATTATTTTCTTTCAAATTTTTTCTTTCTCTGCCTTGTTGTTTTAATGTATGAAGTAACAATTCCCATTTTATATCATGTAGTGGACAGTAACAGAATTACAGAGGAAAGCAAACAATCTGTTAACTGTGCTGCTCAAGCAGCTAAATCCAGTTCAATTGAAGGACAAAATCGGTTAAGGTTTTCTAATCTTGGGTTCGGAGCCTATAGCACAAGAATGCCTCTTCAACCTGAGCAACTGAAAGCTGATGTAATTGCAGGTCCAGTGAGTTCCATGCCATTTTCACACTTGGAAAGTCCTAAAGATAAAATGCAAAGTAAATATTCCTACAGTGGTGTTGATGACCGTCATGTTATGCCTAAGCAACAATATGTTGAATCTCAAATTTCCAAGCTTGATTCTGTGAACTTTGGTTGTACAGACAAGTCAACCAAAGTAAAACTCAGTTTCAGGAATATGGAAAATTACAAGCTTATGGACAGAGAGGAAGGATTAGGACATGGTGCTATGCAAAAGCATGCTGCAGATAAAATGGAAGTAGGATGCCATGTCAAGTTCATGGGACGCCCTAGCTCTTCTTTTGGATTCAGTAAAACCAGTCGTGAACAGAACTCTCATGTACAGATTCTTATAAATATCCCTATCAATGTAACTGATTCTAGACTTTCTTTCAATCATCCTAAGACGATTTTTCCTCTTGAACAGGGCGAAAATGTTGACCATGGTTTTTCTAGACCAGTTACTTCGCGACCTATGTCTCCTAGACCTCCTTTGATTTCACGAGCTCCCTCAATAGTATATTCATCTGTGGCTTTGAACTCTTCTCCTAACATGACCTCAACAATGTCAGAAGAAGAGGCCGCCAGAGTAATGAGTTCACATACGCCTCCATCGAGACAAGGTATGAAACATTCTAATCAGGACGATGTTTCTTCTTCCTGTGGATTTGGGAAGGACCAAAATGCACTGGGTAACTCTTCAAATGGAAATTTAAGGAGTTCAAAAACTCTTCAAGCAAAATCAACTGAAATAAGAGATGGATATAAGCTTGCAAGTAAATCTGCTCTTCCAGAACATGCAGCGAAATCTGTTCATTCTGGGACTACTTCTGGGACTGGTGATGGAGCAGAAAAATCAACTCTGATTTCCGGTAAATGCTGTTCTTTATCACTTGGGATTTCTGGCTCTCCATTGAGTTCTTTCATTTCCTCTACCCGCCTAAATTTTATTATGTGATGGATTTTTTTCCTGCAGTCTCACGAGAAACATCATTTCAAATTAGAGACATTGGAGTGCAGCGCAACCTCTTGTGTGATCCTTATCAAACTGGCCCTCCACTGCCAAGGTGACTGCAGAATTATCTAGAAGTAGCAATTCAATAAACAATTTTCCTTTCTGTCATTTTCCAGTGTGTTGCACTAGGTTAAGCTATACCAATCTAATCAAATTTTATTAAATTTGATCATTTCAGGATTGGTATAAGTGAAAATATTTTATCATCATCTGGGCATGGAAACTGCTGTCAGGGTACATCATGTTCATATGTCCCAGACAAGTGCATCTGTTGGGTACAAAGAAACAGTATGAATGGAAATTCCAATCTTGAAGGAAACGATCTTGTTGGTGCTTTCAGGGAACCATTGGAAATTAGAACCTCTATGCTATCTGCTTCTAACTTGGACAAGGATTGCACTTTGGGAGATAGATGTATTTCTTCAGGTAAAATTGGAGAAACTACGAAGCCAAACTTAAAGAAAGTTGAATTTAATACTTTTCAATGGAAAGATGTTCCAAGCAAAATGTCAGAAAGGTGCCACGTGCCATGCAAAGACCAGAAGGCCAAGCTTTTAGAGCACAGAATTGATGTCAATGACCAAACTTCTGATGTAGCTCGCAAATGCTATGACCAACCTGTTCAGAAGGTTGATTGCATGAAGGAGCAGGTTATGTCTAATATATCATCTAAATGTTCTGCACCTGCTCCTACCCAGGCATCCGTCAAAATCAGCAATGGAGATTCGTGTACTGATGATGCACAGAACACTGGTTGTGCGAAGAACTTTGCTGTAGATGAAGGTTCAGGGATTCAAAAGAGCTGGTCCTCTGATGATGCGCCTGATAGTGGTAGCAACACTGGATTTGATGGTTTTGCTTGTACAATCAATTCGAAAAATGAAACACAATCTAAAGCAATTTCTAATCGATCAACTCGTAGTCTTATTGACGAGCTTAGGGTCATAGACTCTTTAAGATTGAAGAAAGTGCATAATCAAGTACGTACTGGAATCCCTGTGCATGAAAATACTAGTTCAATGAGAACATTTGAGAAAGATTTTAAAGGTGGAAAGAGAAAAAGAGAAACAAAATTCAAAATTCTTGGGACATCATTCCCTGCCTCACCTGTTTCTTCGGTATCTACTGGGAGTTCTGGTCAGTCCTCTCAGTCTCTGGAACATCTTATGATGATAGCTCAACCTAATCAAGAAAGATCTAAAAATTGTACTTGTTCTGTTGGACATGGTTCCAAGAGGAGGTCTACATTGCCAGCTTCGTCAACTGCCTGTTGCACGGAAGATGTACATAAACTTGATAGAAGCACAAAGGACATTATGTGTAAGATACCAAGAAGAGTTTCTGATGACTGCCTTGAAGTTCCTGAACACTCACGTGCGAAGAAGGTAAAGTTGAACCTGGATTTTTCAAAAACAAAGCACGTATGGAAACAAGAAACGCCATGTAAAAGAATTACTAGGCCAGTAGTATGTGGAAGGTATGGGCTTATCTCCAATGGTGATACATCTAAACCAGCAAAGATCTTTTCTCTTGGGAAGATTCTTAAAACTGCGAAAAGATGTGCCCCTGCTGGAAACGAAATTTTAAATAAACCACCAGCGAAGCCGTGGAAGAAATCGATAACCAGAGAAGGCAATCGGCACTCAGGTAGAATTTCTAATCTCAAGGAGGGCAAGTACCACATAGGTCAAGGAGCTGCAGTATCCAGTGATGATGATTTTATGGAAACCTCAGAAGGAACAGAGATGGTACACTCGCCACAATGGGAAAAAGATCCTGATACATCAAACATGTTGGATAAGGGAAAGGAGCGCAGAAATGAAAGAAGCCAACATTTTCCAGATAGTGATTTGGGCACCAGATCAAGGCGAAAGAGTAAGGAGGTTCGCAAGCGCAGCCTATACGAGTTAATTACAGAAGGTATATGTACGAAGCCTATTGAAGTTGCCAAACATATGAATATTCCTTCACTACCTCCATTGATATCACCTGGTTATAAACAAGGGTTCTATAGACACCAAGAATTGATGTGTTGAAATCCGCTGCATGCTTTCTACAAACTGTATCATCGTACAGATTACTGACATTAATTTTTTTCTTGGGGAGATAAACCAAAAACGTGCTAAGCTAATTCATCGATTTCTAAGGAAGTAACCATACAAAATCCAAGTGTGACAAGTTTGTGGCACTATTCAACATTTGGATACTCTTATGCAGAGCGTCCATGCAACTTTTTACCTTAGCTTGGTTGCAGGTTTATGCTCAATAAAATTTGCATGAGCTACCATATGATAACGCTTGCTCGATCCATAATTTCTCTGGTTCATGTGTTATATTCATTCTGGTCTGCAGTCGGTGCTTGATATTTTAGACTCCATCTTGTTTTCTGCCATTAGACTGATCCTTTATACCCCATACTTTTGATCTGTAATCATATTATCTCGACCAAATATAGGGCATTAATGTCTTGAACTTTATTTATCACCAGATAATCTTATTCTTATGCTCTCTGATCATCAGGAAATGATTCTGGCTTTGCTACAATCTCGAAGAACATAGCTTCTGTACCTCAAGATAGCTTGAAGAACGGTGGAAACAGTAATAATCTCCATGGGGTAGACGATATATACAGGTAATTTTATTGGATGTGAAGTGTTTAAACAAGGGGTACTTCCGTCTATGGAGAGTATAATAAGATTATGGCCTGTGGTTTAGATCCCCTGAGGAGCTAACATGCAAGTCAACTCCAGATGTGGATACATTCTGCCATGTTTGCGGAAGCTTAAACAATGATGAAATGAATTGCTTGTTGGAGTGCAACCGATGCTTAGTTAAGGTATATAGCTCACCCTGTTTATATCCCTTGGTTTCCTTGAGAATGTGTTAGAGTAACTTTGCTTGGAATCCACTGAAAGTCGTTTATCACTTTCAGATTGAAGTATTTCGACGGTACAATCGAAATCTCAATCGGATAAAATTCAGTGATTGGTAGAACTTCGAATCCAAAATTGTTATGAATCTGTGTACCTCTCTCACGAAAAATGACCAATTCGAAAATTGAAAAAGTGCGAAAACTGTCAAAAAAATGGCAGTTTTTTTGCACTCTAAACCGGGTTTAGAAACCGGGCCAAAAAACCGGGTTTAAATATTAGTGATACAAATCACCAACAGAATGTCACCTATTAAGATTTTGAGAACCAATTGTATGATGTGGTGCAGGTGCATCAGGCTTGTTATGGCATTTCAAAAGTTCCTAGAAGCTATTGGTATTGCAGACCATGCAAAGAAAATGTCACTAATATGGTACGAACCGTGACTACATCTTTAATTTATACTGCAAAATTTAGGTTCTTCGATTGTTAGGTATTGATATGTAAGATTTTTGCTTTCTATTAGTTATTTTGCAAGTTTAACTTGTAAAATCATGATAAATTCCTTGCCCTCCTACCATTTGAATAAGGGCGTTGGAAGCTTAGGCATTGTGGTTTTGTTGGCATCTAGGTCTGCGTTCTATGTGGTTATGAAGGTGGAGTCATGACTCGGGCTGTTCAGAGTAGCAACATTGTGAAAAGCCTTCTGAAGGCATGGAATGTCACGGAATCACAGGAGAACCCAACTATGCCTTCACGAGTCTTGAAGGATCGGTTGAATGCTGATGCTTCTTCAGGAAATCAAGTAGATATTGATGCACATCCAAATACTTTTTCTGCACATATAAAGGCCTCAAGTTCCCATTATCATATGAATGACACAATGGTACTAAATAGTGTAACAGCAGGACTTTTTGACTCTACTGTCAAGCAGTGGGTACATATGGTTTGTGGTCTTTGGACACCCGGAACACGATGCCCAAATGTTGACACCATGAGTGCTTTTGATGTATCTGGTGCTTGTTGCCCCAAAGGAAACGTGGTAAGGACTTGACTAAGTAGAATTTTGCTAGACTAGTTTCAAACTCTTTGAAATCCCTAAAGAAGGTTTTTTTTCCTGATTATGTTTTCTGTCATGTATCTAAAATACGATGGTGATTGTTCAACATAGCAAATGATCCGTCTTGTTATTTTACTTCCAGGTTTGTTCAATGTGTAAACGTCCTGGTGGTTGTTGCATAAGGTGCAGAGTTGTGGACTGTGCAGTTCACTTCCATCCCTGGTGTGCCCATCGAAAGGTCTTTACCTCCCAAAGCCTGAATATGTCTTATATTTTGCAGGCTCATTTGAACCTCACATATATATATATATATATATATATAGAGAGAGAGAGAGAGAGAGAGAGAGGGGTTCAGGGAAAATCCGAAAAATGAAAAACTAAGGAACACATTAATAACTGTATATTTGTACGGTATGCACATGTGCATACAAGTAATTGAAGATGTTTCCTGATTTCTATGCACATGTACATACTGGAAAAATCACTTGCAAATAACGTGTATGCACATGTGTATACTGTCTAGATAAATGGTTACTAGTTTTTATTTTTTTGCAGTTTTCTCTAAACCTGATCATATATATATATATATATATATATATATATATATATATATATATATATATAGTAATGTTCTTATTTGTATGCGATTTTGCTTGGGTTAGAATTGAGAGAAGTGTTTGTTGTCAAATAGATGTTTGTTTTCTGTAGTGCCAATATGATTGTTGCTTTGGAAATAGGGTTTACTGCAAAGTGAGGTTGAAGGAGCTGAGAATGAGAAGGTTGGTTTCTATGGGAGATGTGAGCTTCATGCAACAGAAGACCGTAGCCATAAGAGTAATTCTCAGAGCATACAAGTTGCGAGTCTTGATGAAAAGGAAACATGTGCTCGAACCGAGGTTTGTCTACTTGGACCAAAGTACAATTCGGTGCTATATCGAATAAACCTGTGTCTTTATTGTCTGTGTTTTCTTGATCTGGATCAGGGTTACAAGGGACGGAAACGAGAAGGCTTTAGGCATGATAGTCTTCAAAGCTCTGGTCGTACTGGTGGATGTCTGTTTCGGCAAGAACAAGTAGATGCTTGGAATCACATAAATCGACTAATGTCATTTAAAAAACGGCTTCAAAGGATGCCACAGCCAGTTCAAGATGTAGAATACGATTCCCGGGTATGTTAAAATTCAAGTCCATTGATGTGGATTAACATCTGAAAACTATGCACCTTTTGTTGGTTATTCGAGAAAAAGAGAGGGGCGAAAGAGAAGAATGTGCTAGAGTCCCACATCGGCTAGACTTTCATTTCTCATATATACATATATAGATAGATAGACAGAGGGAGGTTCAAACAAGAACGGTAACCAAATAAAAGAACATGAAAGACGGCCAAATCACATGCAAAATTACAAGTGATTTTACACCAACGGTCGAAGCAAAAGTGCGTGGCGATGTGGCCAGCGCAGGTCGCGTCCAAAATCACGTGAATCACGTGTGATTTTACACTACCTGTTTCTTATTCTCTTATTTGGTGGTTGTTCTTGTATAATTTGACAATCTCTTCTCTCTCTCTATATATATATATATGTGTGTGTGTGTGTGTGTTAGAGCCTCCTTTATCTCTTCAAGGACTCTCTTGGAGAGTAACCTAATGGGGTCCGATGTTCGCACATGGTATCAAATTCATGGTCTACCACTCTAGGGGCTCGACACTCGGGAGCAATCTACCCCCCTCTCCCCCACCCATCTACCCCCCTCTCGACACTTTTGAGATAATTTGTGCCTGTCTAGCCTCATTGGAGGAGACGTGTTTGAGACCCACTTCGGCTGAACTTAGACCATTTCTCCTCAATATATGTTGGAACTTCTCATGTCTTCTTTTGGAATCCGACAGAATATACATGTCTCAATAATCCTACTTTGAGCTATCTAATCTTATGTTTCATACTGTACGTTGCAGAAAGAATATGCTCGCTACAAACAGTCGAAGGGTTGGAAGCATTTGGTTGTATATAAATCAGGCATCCATGCTCTTGGTCTGTATACATCATTATTCATTTCACAGAATGCAATGGTATGATCCTTAGTTACACACCAGTTTCTTGTAGTTTGTGCAAGTATACCACCCCATAACCAACTGTAATACAGTTTCTTGTAGTTATAATTACAAATTACACTACATAAACACACACACTCACACCCTTCGCTGTGTGTATTGTATTTAGGTTGTTGAGTATGTTGGTGAGATCGTGGGACTACGTGTGGCTGATAGAAGAGAAAGCCAGTATCAGTCGGGAAAGCAGTTGCAATACAAGAGTGCTTGCTACTTTTTCAGGATTGATAAAGAACATATAATCGATGCAACCCGTAAAGGGGGAATTGCTCGGTTTGTCAACCATTCATGCCAGGTAATATTATCTTTTGATTTGTATTTCACCTGTGTATTACGAGGTTGCTCTTCCCTTGCAAAACAGAAGTTATCGGAATTAGTGAAGATTTTGTGCTCTATTTTAGCTCCAACAGATTCTTTATATTGTTCTTTAACATAAAGAAAACTCATTTAAGAGAACTCTGATAAATTTAATGTGAAGAGAGATGATTTTTTTATTCTTTCCCCATAATGAGATTGAATCATTATCATTCTCATTAAGTTCTTTAAACTGATTTGGGATGATAAAATTATAGAATATTTTAATAATATAATTAATGCTGAAATTCTCAAAAAAAAATCTGTTGGAGTTGAGTATAGCTTTCTTTCATAGAATTCGACTTTCATTTCTTTATTTTAGAAAATTAGAGCATCTTCAATGAGGGTTCTTATAAGAACTAATTTTTTGTACTTTTTTCTTGCCATGTCACCACCAACTCATCAAATCAAAAACCTATAAAAGTCCACAATGTTGGTTCTTATAAGAACCTCTTTTGTGGGTCTCATGTATTTTTTCAACATCAATAGTTATTATATCATTATAATAAATATCAAATGTTTAATTTAAGAAACTAACAAAATGTTACTTCACACCAAGTCCAAGGTAAGAACCAAGGTTCTTGTACAAAAACTCAAAGAATATGAGGTTCTTGTAAGAACTCTCTCCAATGGTGGTTCTTCTAAGAACCTACACTTTTTGCTTATAAGAACCTTGCACTGGATTATATTCTTATAAGCAAAAAATGTAACTTCGGTTCTTACCTTGAAGTTGGTGTGAAGTGACAATTTGCTAGCTCTTTATATATTTTTTAGACTTTTATGTTCTATATAATAATTAATATGTACATATTTACTTAACTTATATTATACATGGGACCCACAAAATGGGTTCTTATAAGAGCATCTCCAATGCAAGGTTCTTATAAGCAAAAAGTGAAGTGCCTTATAAGAACTACCTTTGTGGAGAATTTTTATAAGAACCTCACCCTCTCTGAGTTCTTGTACAATTGGTTCTTACCATGAAGCTTGTGTGAAGTGACAATTTCCTAGTTCTTTTATTGACTTTATAATAGTTATTGACGTTAAAAAATACATGGGACCCACAAAAAAGGAGGTTCTTGTAAGAACTATCATTATAAACTGAGTTATTAATTTGATGAGTTGGAGATGAGGTGGCAATAAAAAGTGCAAAAAGGAGGTTTTATAAGAATCTCCATTAGAGATGTTGAACTACGATTGTGGAGTTTTTATATAGGTTATTAATTTGGTGAGGTAGAAATGATGTGGTAAGAAAAAGTACAAAAAATGGGTTCTTATAAGAACCTGCTTGGGGATGCTCTTAAAGGATTTGAGATTCTTGTAAGAACTCTCTCCAATGGTAGTTCTTGCAAGACACTACACTTTTTGCTTATAAGACTCTCCCATACTTTTAAAAAAATATTAACTTTATTATCTAGAGAGAGGGTAAAGTTGGAGATGCTCTTTCAAATCTAACAAATGTTATATTTGGTTACCTTTTTTTTCATCCGGAGCTAACTTGCGATTATTTCGCTCTTCATATCCAGCCAAACTGCGTCGCCAAAGTGATAACCGTGCGGGGTGAAAAGAAGGTAATGCATATTTCTTCTTATACATCTAAACCGAACGTAATTGGTATATCTGACTTTAATATTGGCATTGCAGGTTGTGTTCTTGGCAGAGAGGGACATATATCCAGGAGAAGAGATAACTTATGACTATCATTTTAACAATGAAGACGAAGGTAAAAAGATTTTGTGCTCTTGCAATTCAAACAATTGCAGGCGTTATCTTAACTAAACTAAACAAATTCCTGTCTAGATGTGTTATGGTTTCCTTGTACAAATTCCTATGAATGATGGCTGTCTGTTTGTCTGTGTAGAGTTTTTGGCAGCTGCTGCTTTTGTTGCTACATTTCTAATATTATTATGGGCCCGTTTACCAAACGTTTATTGGGTAAATGCTTACTGGATGTCACTTACTTTATCGTGTGAATATGGCAAGGCCAAAAATCTTACCTGGTAAGTGAATGAGAAAACTCTTGCCCGATAAACGCTTACTAGGTGAAAGGTGCTTGCCAACAATCAATTTTGATGGCTGTGAATATTACCGATAAGGTAACTAAGGAAGTGGCTTTTGCCGGTAAACGCTTACACAGTAAGCATTTCGTAAACAGCCCGAATGTTGATGCTTGAAGGAAACAGAAACCACCATCTCTGCCTTCTATGTATGTACATAATCAATGCCTCTATACTCATAAATTGTTCAAAATATCCTTTTTGGATTCCTCAATTGATTTTATAGCTTACGGGCCAGAGTGAAGTATGTACATAATCAATGCCTCTATACTCATAAATTGTTCAAAATGTCCTTTTTGGATTCCTCAATTGATTTTATAGCTTACGGGTCAGGCCTCACTCTGGCCTGAGAACTAGGCCTCTTGCCAAGCTCTATCAGCAAGCGATCCCCATTTGACTGTACAAGAATATGTGGAGTTCAGCATGTTAACAATTTATTTTATAGCCAAGATTTTACAAGTACTACTTTAGCAACATGTGAAATCTACTTTTTATGAATTTAACATTCATAAAGTAACAATTTAGCAAGTGGTTGAAGTGCTATTTACAAATTGTTGACATGATAAGTATATACTTTAGGAGGTTGGGTTGCGATATTTACTTTTTATGAATTTAATATTTACGAATAACATTTTAGCATCATGTTGAAATGCTACTTGCAAAATGCTGACATTGCAAGTAATACTTTAGCAAATTGCATAAGTGGAACTTTTACGTTAGCGTTTCACAAGTAACATTTTAACAACTTGAAAAAATTGCTATTTTATAAGTATTATATTAATAAAAGTGGATTTCATAAGTTGCTAGTACTACTTACGAAATCTTGACTATTTCGGTCAATTATGTAAAAAAAATGGCTGTAAAATGAATCGAGGGGGGTCAAAAATGCCTATTTTTGATAATTTCGCCTTCTTTTGGGATTGAAACTCTTATGGGATCGCCAACTCGGGTTTAAGCCCAGCTATCTACATATACAGTTATGGCCATTGGGAGATTTACCACAAGGCTATGGACAAAGCCTAGAGTGGCGACTTACCATGGGATCATTCTGGACGAAGCCACTCATTTCCAGAAATAGGAGGAGGTTTGTTCGTTTTGTGTTCTTCAAAGGACCCACAGAAAGGACATAATATTATGATGAAGTTCTTGAATAACAAATCTTCAAAGTTGTTTTACAAACTTTATGAACAGACTACTTCCCCTCAACAGCTGCTTTGACGTGGGGAAACCGATCGACCCACCTCGAGTATCCTACACAACCCAAGGAAACAAAACCTTCAGATTCTTTTAAGTCGATATAAGGAGAAACGAAATCGGAACCACAATGAGATAAATAGAGGAAATGGTACAAATGGATGTTTTGACATACCTGAGATGACTATTTGGAGAAGATCTGCCTCAGTATCCTGAATAATTAAAAGAAACTATCAGTTACTAAAGGGCCTTTTGGCCTAGCGGTATGTGAGTCTTTGTCCTCGTAGGAGGTCAACGGTTCAAACCTCACCAAAGGTGGAGAGGGTGTGTGAGTTTGTCCGTTCTATTTGCCGTATATAAATATTATATACTTCAAAAAGAAAAGAAAAACTATCAGTTGTTTAGATAAGAGATCGATGTTTACCATTTATTAGACGTCTTAAATATCGAATTTTGACCAACAAGGGGTAATATGAACATTTTAAGAGAAAAGGAAATCGTTGCAATTTTCATGGAGATCATAGGAGCAACAAAGTAAAAGACATTATCATGGGTACAAGAAACATTTAGAGAACTTACTTTACTATATGAAGCTGCCATACTTCTCCTCATGAGCTGCGACAAACTAATTAGATTCTTTCGGTGGAATTGTGGATGGCACTGAAGAGCCGCCTCAGATGTCAAATCTAGTATCAAAGCACATATGCTTGAAGCCATCATGGTATTAGAGCAGTCAACAGCGTTCTCTGATGAATCACAGAATATATCAACATCAGTATTGTGGGTTGGTTCTCGTGAGACCACAAAATAACACTGAACCTTCATAGCAGAACACTGTGAAGGTACAAATAGCACCGAACTTTTATAGCAAAAACACTGAAGGTCAGTGTTCTGCTGTGAAGGTTCGGTGTTATTTTTTGGTCTCATGGGTCTCACAAAAACATGTTGCTCTAACACGATCCCAAGTCTAAATGTTGTTAACTGATAAAGAGATAAATAAAGAAGAAATATATATATATATATATATATATATATATATATATATATATATATATATATATATATAAGCTAACTGATACCTGCCCATGATGGCAACACACCCAATAGCCTGATAAAATAAGAATCATCCAACTGGAGTCGAATCTGTTCTCTCTAATAACACAAAACACACACGCATAAGTCGAAAAAATTAATCAGAAGGGTGACATGAAATGTTTTTACCAGAAGGGTGCGATTGTAAGACAGCGGTCCTGATAAACTAAGTGGCCACAATTGTTGTAGACGCCTGGAATCGAACCAGAGGGAGATGGGATATTCCACCACATCCCCTGGGGCCTCAACCACTACGTCACAACCCTTAAGGTTAGGGTGATATGAAATTGGGAAACTGGGCATACTGGAAATAACATACCTTCAAAAGAAGATTTAAGATAGTATCACAAGCCAAGAAAATGGGACCATTTTCCTCGACTGTACCAGCATCTTCCGAAAGCAACTTAATTAGGCATGCTACAACCTTCAAATTAAACGAACATTTAATTAGAAAAGATCAGTAGACATGATATGTTAGATTTATTGTTGGGTTTGGGCAAAAATAGCATCTCATCAAAACAAAAACTTACTGCTTTATATGCTCCAGAAGAGGCTATAAGCCGACATCCATCAATCTCCATTGTTATTTGGCATAGCATTGGAAGCAGGAAGCAAACTGAAGAGAAGGGGCTATCCATTCACAAGTGAATTAGAAACAGACAAACCTTTAATCTCCAATTATTTCGAAAACTGAGTAGTGAATGAAACAAGGAACCAACAAAATGGAAAATAGAAACAGACAAACCTTTGTTCATCTTCACCTTCAACCAAAACCAAATACCCCAAAAGCTCCCTAATCTTGTCATTGCATGCAGCTGGAGTCTCAGCAAGGTAACTACAACAGAAAGATATGATTTTTTTATCATTTTAAAAAGAAAAGAAGAGGAAAGAAAAAGGAAAAAGACCAAAATTCCCTCACTTAACAGTCATTAATGGGAGGGACCAAATCCGAGCAAAGTGATTTAGCTCCCTAAGTTGTGGTATATATATAAAGGAAAAACAAAAGAAACTTTACAATAATTGGACACAGGAATACCTCCCAACTATCCGCACTGAAGCAAGAAGATCATTCCCTTTATGTTGTCCATGATCCTGTCAAAAAAATTACAATCATAAATACATGAATGCTACATAACCTTGAACACCCAAAAGTAATATTACTACCTTGGCATCTCGAAGATACTCTAAGATAACAGCAACCGTCTCGTTAAGCCCAGTGATGATCTTTGTAAACATTTTGTCACTGATGATATCACCTGTACAAGGGAAACGGATAAAAATCAGCATCTACTGTATAATGCGTCAACAAGAACGCATAAATTCATTTTCAAATTAAAGTAAATGTATACCTCCATCTCCAGCGACACTTGAAATCAATTTGATCGTCTTCTCCACTAATGAAAACGCAGTGCCAAGATTCCTTTGCTTTAAAAGAAAGGTTTCGTTGTCTAATGAGTCTTTGGCCTTCTCGTATTTCAGATACGCTAGGTCATTAAGAAGAACAGCAATTTCAACCCTTGATGACTCTAAAACAAGCAATATACACCTGGGGAGCGATGAAGCCAAGATAAGGAAGCGCACTTGTTGACCGCCATGTTGGCAATTTAACATGGATTGCATACCTGTCAGCTGGAATAGGGTCTTGTGTGTCAGGTAAGTTCATTTGCCCAAGAAGCCACCCTTCACCAGCAATACACATAATGGACTCAGCCAACATAAGAGCCTCAAGCCTTTGCTCCGGTGCTGCATATCAAATTCAAGAAGATTTATAAGTTAATCAAGTATCAGATTATTCTCTTGTTTTATTTACTTAGCAATATTATGAAGGGTTGGGTTCCGGTGAGAAGGAGAGTTAAGTTGAGAAGCGTAAGAAGGGATCTTCATCCTTGGATGCACATTAGGATGAGATGCACCGAGATGCACAGGATCAATCCTCGTATCAAGCACAATTCATGGGTGGGTTTGAGATTAAAGGTGATCAAGGGTCCAGATCCCTTCTTACGCTTTTCACCTCAACTCTCCTTCACACACGATCAAGCACACAATGACTTCAACTTACCAACACGATTTTGCAGAACTGCCACAACACCAACACGTACATAAGTTAACCACGTTTTGTTGCTCACTGTACGGAGAATTTCATGCACAGGTTCCTGATAAGCACATAATTCAAAGGAGTTAACATAACAATGCAATCTCAAAATGGAATAGTACTTTTAGTAACAAATGTACCATACAACAATAGTTGGTTTCAAAGGCAATAACTTATGGAAATACTTTTATGTTTGAAGATGTAAGAGTAACAGTGTGACATGAAATAGTGATTAAATGTTCATACAGCATATATTGAGGAGAGGATTGTTGATAGAAGGTGAAGTGCCTCAAATTTCAGAGCATTGTGCAACACAGCAAACTGCCTTGCAAGCACAGTCACCTGCAACAAGAAGCAATGCTTGATTACATCATTATAATATTAGAGATTGCATGCACAGAAATGACTAATGGATAACATTATTATGTCCCAGTAATTGATGTGAAATATATGAATATGAGCTTACCACCGATGACAACTCCGAATAGTACTCTTTGGTAATCGTGTCCAGGGAAATTTTACTTACTGTCAACTGAAGGAGCTTCATAGCTACCTCCATTGTATGGGAACCTACACAGGTTTTAAGAATGTTAAATCCACATCCAGAGACACGTGAATATATTAATATATATATATAGAGAGAGAGAGAGAGAGAATAACTCATACCATCTGGTAAATTAAACATCTGAGAAGCTAGCATGGTCATGCCTCCGGACTCGTAAAAGATTTGAATACCATCCTTATGGGCTGCTGACACCAAGTATAAAAATTCAAAGCATTCTTCAACAAGGGATGGGCCTAATCTGTAATTTCAGACGATAAATGATAACACATAAAATCTGTTGCCTAGTACTTGAAGGTAGTTTGGACGAAACGATATCGAGTGAAATGTCTACATAAAGAAGGAAAAAAGAATATTGTTCAATTACCAAATTCATTTATAAGATGCCGTATACATCTGTACTAGAAACTTGAAGAGTGTCTCATTGAAATTACTTCTTGGCCACTAACGAAAACAATCATGCCATACTTCTTAATTGCATGATTAAAGATTATAGAATGAAGGCATATATAAATCCTTACTCCTTAGAAAGAACTTCCAGTACAAGAGGAATCTTCTTGACCATATCATCTGAAGAAGCTATGTCAGCAACACGACAAAATGCAGCTAAAATTGTGACAGATAGCTGTAGATAGGCATCCCGGTTCTCTTGGCGACTCTCACTGGTGCTTCCTTTCCCCATCCCTACCAGAAACACAAAAGATCATAGGATTAATACAATCATTTGCTCACCTTTTTCTTAACAAGAATTAAGCTATGTGTTAATATTACATATCTTAAGAGTTAATTCCACACACAGCTCCCATAAAAAAACAGATAGATAGATACTTCTAAGGGCCTGTTTGCTAGCAGGTTCACGAGCTTAATGGAACTCACAGCTTATTCGGTCAGCTATACATGATTGTTTGGTGGTGGCTAAATGATATTGAAAGTGGCTTAGTAAGCTTCTAGGGGGAGCTTTATGCAGATAGCCAAGTCTGTTCTAAACCTGCCCCTGCCAATTAAAGAACATGCTCATTCCATCTATGAAAAAACCCTCCAAACAAAAACCTTTCCAATCTACACAGACAGATTAATGCACAGACATCTTTATCGAAAACCAACCAAACAGCCCCTAAATTACATTCACAAGTCTTTACTCACTTCATCGATAGAAATATAGTGACACTTTCGATTGAAAAAGGTGAGATTTATGTTCCAGAAGGTATTCTACTTGCTTAGAATACCACATATACATGAAAATGGAAGGATTCTTCAAATAGTGACAACAAGAAGCAAAATTGAAACACATCTAAAACACAGAAAATAAATCAAATTTTAATAGGAATTAGAAGGGTGAAAATCCACAGAGTCACATGACCTAATTAAACCATAAAAATGGTGGAAAAAGAAAAGCATAATCAAAGTATTCATTCTGATCATAGCAAGTCAATTTAAGAATTACACTTGAATTGATTAGCTTTATTTTTGGTGAGATGTTTTCGGTGAGAACTCCCTCCATATCCGATCAATCATCAATGTGTAGCTCTTTTATTAAATTTCAGTAAGAGATGGAGTATTCATCCAATGACAGCATCGAAAATTCAAGATGCAATTGAAAAAAATAGTTTTGACTCAATTGATTACCTGTTCGAAGAAGGCGGTCCAAGAAAACGTTGCCGACGGCATTGTAAACCCTTAAAATGGAGTCAAAATCATCGTTGTTGCAGAATTTGGTGGCGAGTAGGAGACCGGCGAGACGCTGTTCGTCCCTATCTCCTTTCAATAACTTTAAGCAATCCTCAAGTGAAGGACCCCGTTGTTGTTCCTGCACATCCAACATTCATCAAGATTAGTATACAAATCTTAGGGTTTTGAGAGAGGAAAGGTGACTAACCATGGCTGCAAGTTGTAATCCAAGAGGTGGCGGGATATTTGTGAATAAAGAGTAAGATTTCTGTTACGGGAGAATAGCAACTTCCAGAAAAAAGAAGGTCGTTCTTACTTCTTAGGCTCAATACGACGCCGTCAGCCGAAATTCAGGTTTTACGCCCTCCTGACGTTGCTTGACTTGTGTACCAAACAAAGCCCTTCGTATAATTAGGGTTTTTGTATTTTACAAAATCATAATAATTGAATTCGAATATATAAAGTTGTCGTAAAAATTTCATTATAGAAAAAACCCAAATTTGCTTAAATTGAGTAAACTACGGTTTTCGTCCCTGTGGTTTGATATTTTTAATGATTTTCGTCCCTAACTTTAAAAACTGACTTTTTTATTCTTATGATTTCCACTTTGTTTATATTTTCGTCCTTAAAATTAACTTTGTTAAAAAATGTTTGTTAAATTAGAGGTAATTTTGTCTTTTTATTAAATTATATGAACATTTATTAAAAAAAATAAACCTGATATGACACCCACCAAACACATGACATCCCAACCCCGTCCTAAAAAAAAAAAAAAAAACAAAACAAAAAAAAACCAACGTGTCTTCTTCTAATCATCCCCTCCTTTCTCTTATTTGGTGTCGACCATTTTCCTTTGACAGTCATCTTCTCCGGTTAAGAATGAGAAAGAAATAGAAAATCCATCATCCCCAAAAGTGGGGGGTTTTTTAAAACGAAAAACCCTACTTTTTCAGATGAACTGTACAACACAACACCCCGCCCACGAACCATCTGGCTCATGATTTCCCTTCACGCTCATGATTTCCCTTAACGGTGTTCCCACTTCTGAACCCAAAAGATGTCAACTTTCTAAGACCAAGATGGTCACCTATTCAAACAGGAAGGGGTCGGGGTTCTCTTTGGGGTGAGTAAAATGTGTGTGAAGTTGTATATATGTATATTTATATATATATATATAATGAAAATATTAGTTAAAATGATAAAAGACTAGATTACCCTTAACTAACTTTTTCTGACACAGTTCCAAGGATGAAAAGAGAAACGATGTGGAAACCAGAAGGATGAAAAAGGCAATTTCTAAAGATCAGGGAAGAAAATCATTATCTGCGAACCACGCCACCTTGGAAGCTCTAATGTTGGCATGTATTATTATTATTATTATTATTATTATATATAAATTTTAATTTGGTACATAATTTAACAAAAAATTGAGATTAGTTGTTAAAAAATCTGTAACCTTTACAAAATATAATTCATCTCCTCAGTAGATATGGATAAAAGCCGGTTGGTCGCGATCAAAAGTCTAACGAAATTTGACCACACGTGAATCCTTGTGCTAGAGGTGCCTGGTGGGTCGTAAAAGAAATGAGAGGCGGTGGCAGGTGCAGATGCGAGAGTGTCGATTCCCCAACGGATTTCCTTAAAAAGAAACATCAAAAAGACCACAAGGGTACCCATAGTCTAGTCAGGGCAGATTTTATGAAACCTCAACGGATTTTATCAACTGCTTGGAAAAATTGAGCTCTAAGTGAGGCTCAGTTGCTTCTTATAACGGATCAGAAGCTTTAGCTTATGATTCCAGTTCAAGTACTACTGAGTTGTCAGTGTGAGCAATTTGTAACTCATGTATATGAAACTGTAGCACCAACTTCAATGGTTTCACCGTTTCACGGCCATCATGACAGCATAAATAGTCGCATGCCTAATGGCAGAGTGGGGGTATGGTAGTTGGAAGTCTGAGGGCACACATTTGGATCATACTCGAACCTCTGTCACTCGACAGAGGCAAGTGGTGATGTAGTTGATGCATAAACATACTCTATGAAATGGTTACCCAACTACATACGAAACAATACCGAAAGAAGACAGTACAATAAAAATTAAAATTCCAAAAAGCTTCAGAACTCGATGGTCGAGTCTGACAAAGATGTTCAAAATATCTTTAAAAGATAACAAACACTCTGGTCCAAAACAAGATTGATGATTGATTCGCTACCTAAAGTACTTAATTTTCGGCCTCCTCTATCTTTGCCTTGTCACTAACATAAATACCATCAAGAAACTTACGAATATCCTTGTTCTTCACGTGACATTTCTGCAAATACAAACACAATCCGATCAACCCCAACATATACCACAAATACAAACACAATCAGATCAAACCCAACATATACCACAAAAATGGATTATATGAGCTAGAAACTCGCATGTATAAGAGTTACCTGGTTGATTAGAGCACATGATCGAGAAACAAGCTCAATGTCATTTCCATCCAACACCAATTCATCCTTAACCTTCTCAGATCTCACAACAGTCACACCATCAAGCATATCAACCTTCCTCACCTGTTTGTTACCGTGAACCATATATCAGACGATAAATTTGAAAAAGTTACACGTAAAATTGTTACAATTGTGATAGATAAATAGAATGACAACATCAACCGTTATGATACTTCACAAAAACAGTGACCATCCTAGCAAACACTTGCAGGAATACACAAAGTAAAACGATCACAAGACTAACAAGAATACAAGATTTTAACAGGAAAAAGTTGAATGTTAAGACCCAACTCTCGATAGCAAACAACTAAAGACCACCTCAAACCATAAAAACACCGAATGTATATTAAATTTCCATCAATAAGCTTTGTGATCTACATAACACAAACTGACCTCCAAAATCACAAAGAAAATACCAAAGAAGATTTCAAAGGACTGAAAGAAACATGGCTACATTTCCAAATGTCTATTGGACAGAATGTATATCCTGCATACACCAAACTTAATAACACAAAGGCAACCTTTGAGGTACAATTATACACATAAAAACATATAGGATACATATGAAGCAAAGCAAACCAAAACAGAATCAGCATTAAAACAAATACACTAATCTGAAACCAAAACTGAGCTTATAACCATATACTAATCAAAATAGTTGAATATAATCTAGTAAGCATATTTCTAGGCAAAGCTTGGATACATGTTAATTGGCATACCGAAAGAGATGTAAAATTTGAATGATCATAAAGATAAATACGCAAATAAATAAGATAACAAACAGTTAAATGTAAAACCAAAAAACAACAATAGGTTAATACAGAGATTATGATACCAACCTTCTTTTCACCAAGAAAGTTACGGATCTCAATCGCCGTGTTGTTGTTGGTGATACTAGCGTTGATCGGAAAATGAGCGTAGACAAAACGCATCTTGTAACGGAATCCCTGAGTAACACCGACGATAAGGTTGTTGACGTGACTGAGGGCAGTACGGATGGCGGCGGTAGTCTTGCGAGATCCGAACCATGCATCAACCTTCAGCTTCCGTTTTCCGGTCTCCTCATCGGTAATGAGTAGGAAATCGAGATTGAGATGCTTGAAATTGCGAGTTAGGGTTCCTCTTGGACCTTTCACTTCGATGATCTTTGCCTTCACTTTGATCTCGACACCGTCAGGGATATCCATCGTCTCCGATGATAAGATGGTCTTCATCTTTGCCCTCTCCTTTGCTCGAACGCCGACGGCCTGTTGTTAAAAATTAGGGTTTGGAGATCACAGAGACCAAACCCCACAGAGAGAGGTGTTATATATGCACACCCTAATCCTGAAGTTATAACCGAAAAGTGGAGTTGGGCTTCCAATGGGCCAAAGTCTTCCTTTGAGTATTTAGGCCTTGGGCCTCCTAAAATTAATTTAGCGCATTAGCATTGGGTTTTTAATACTATCTAAATCTCATTTAGAAGTTAGAACTCTTGGGGGTCGTTTACCTAAATACTTACCCTATAAATACTTAACGGTAAAATTCAATACTATTGTTTACTTATTGGATAAGATTTTATTTCACTAAAATGCATCGTATGCAACAATTTATCTCGGTAATCACTAACCATGGTAAGAGTCATCGTCCTCACTTACCGGGTAAGACTCTCGATTCTTGTTTTCGCTCTTAACGGGTAAGATTTTTAGTCCTCATTTAATCATTATGCACCAAACCATTCAGCAAATATCAAACAACCTCACTTAATTATTTTATTAAGTGATCATAAAAAGAACTGAGAATTTTATCCGGTGAGAGGGAAAACAAGGATTGACAGTCTTATCTGGTAAGTGCGTGTGGTTACTCTTGCACAGTAAACGTTTTACTGGATGATAAACACTTATCATTAATCCATTTTGATGGTCAGAAATGTTATCCAATAAGGTAAGTGAGACTGATGACTCTTACAGGTAAACATTAGGTAAACGACTCATAAATTACATTTTTTTGTCTATGTGATTTGTTAAAAAATGTGATTTTCATCGTGTAGTAGAAATTACGGTTTTTGTCTCTATGATCTATAATTTATTGTTATTTTCGTTTTTATGATTTACAATTTATTGTTATTTTGGTCCACGTTGTTTAAACTTTTTTACTGTTTTGGTCCACGTTATTTAATTTTTTTTACTGTTTTGGTCCCCTGTACTTAAAAGCATGAATCAATCCAAAAATAAAAATAACAATAAATTACAAAATATAAGGATAAAATTCTAATTTCTAAATCACAGGGACAAAAATCAAAATTGACCAAAATTGTAATTTACCGTTGAATGAAACATCATTTTTTTTAATAATTTACAAATTTAGTCCCTCAACTATTTTATAGTTTGTAGGCTTAGGGGTTGTTTACTCGCCCCTTATTAGCCTCTTACCCAACAAAAAATTCTTGCCCTATTAAGAGGTAGGTTGTTTACTTATCTCCTTTTTCATTAAGCATGTCTGACCGTTCCCCTTTCCAGAATTAGTTCTTTCAGCAATAGAGTCCATGCTGATCACGATCAGCGTATCTTCTCTTTGGTTTTTTCCGATTTTATCCCCATCCCTCCCTATTTATATCGCCTTCCTCACATCATCTGGTCATCGCCTTCCCTCAATTGCTCTGCCTACAGTAATCGACCTACAACCTTCTGTCAGTTTTCATCTCTTGTTGCTGTCGGTTTCAGGTGCGGTTTCATCTCTTGTTGATGTCGATTTCACTTCTACTTTAGAGGTAATTAGGTTAAGGTTCAACTTGCTTCTGACTTATCTCTTTTTTAACTTTTAAGTGGCCTTGTAAAACCAAAGCAATAATAAATGAACAATTTTTTTTACAAACAACACTTACTCCAATTAGAGTTGCTTAGGGGCCGTTTACTATATGCTTACCCGGTAAGTACTTACCGGGTAATTTTCCTCACCGGATGAACATGACAAGGGTCAATAATCTTACCCGGTAAGAACGATGATAAGAATGGAGAGTCTTACCCGGTAAGTGAGGGTGACAACTCTTTCCCGGGTAAACGCTTACCAGACAAATTGTTGCATGAAATACGTTTTGATGTACTACAATCTTACCCAGTAAAATAAAATTATAGTGTTGACTCTTAATGATAAGCACTTACCGGGTAAGCATTTAAGTAAACAACCCCTTACTCTAATCATACCTCTTATTTCAGACAACGCTTACCGGTTATCGTCGGTAAACACCCCTTGGTCTATTATTTTTTCATCGTTAATAGCTCAAAATAGTCGAGTTTTTAATCATTTTAAATTAACAAAATCCCTTTTTTTTTCTTAGCAATGTGCACATCAAATATGTTGAAAAATAAGTATATTTTTGTCTCTATTAAAAAAATAAAAAGATTATTTTATGAAGATCTCAAGTAAAAATAAGAGTCCGACTCCCGAATATGACAAAATTCAAGCCCCTAACAAAACTTGAGGAAATGGTACGAATGATGGAATAAACAGTGAGAACAGTTGATGCGTATCGTTAAGGAAGACGAGGTCCATTAGGCCTTTGGAGGGAGGTTGTGAAATGCAAATCCAGCCAAACCTCTTGGTAAGAGGCCAAATTGTCGTACCTTGAATGACGACCATGATCAACACAAGAATGTTGTTTTTATCCATGTCCATCTTCAATCGTCCCTACGATAGAAGAAAGAAGACCAATAGGCCTTCCACAGGCCGCTTAGTCCCCACGTATCAATAAGGTGAATAATCGTGGATGCTTTTTTCCTTACAGTTTTCTCTATTTAAATTTTTTGTTAAAATTGCAAAGATCTGCTAATTTTATAAAACACCCCTTTTGATTTTCGTATACTCTTTGATATAAGATTAATCTAATATTTAGGGGTGTAAAATTTGTACTATGACAAACCAACCAATTGTGTTACCAACCGTACCATTTAAATTTGTACCAACTAAATTGATACCAATTAAATTGATTGGTAGTACCGTACGAACTTCATAAACTTGGTTAGTGACTCATCGTCTCCTCAACACACACTTCCATCATTCAACGATCACATGGTCTACACCTCTACAAGTTGTTTGAATGCTTTTGTTGTATTACTTTTGTTCCACTTTATGTACCAAGATACTATGCATAGAGCATCTCCTACATATTACTAAAATATTCAATACATTTAATAAAATATTTTTTTTTTTTTTATAATTTATTTTTAAGGATTCTCGTTGGTAAGAAGAATAAAAAATAATTTTCTTTCGAAGATAATCGTTTTTGGAGAATTTCATACTCTAATGCTTTCTCTATTTTGGAAAAGGTTTTCGAGAAAAAAAAAATTGAGCAAAAATCCCCAAAATTTCCATTTTGACATTTCTCCAAAATGGATAATACGTCAAAATTTCCATTTTTTTTTTACTTTCATCTCCGACAACCTCCGTTTTGAAAATTGTAACATTAATTATATTATTAAAATGTTTAATACGATTAATAAAATATTATTTCTTTCTCATAAGCATCTAATTTCAAGATTTTTCATTGGTAGGAACAAAAGAAAATAATTTCTCTTTCCTAAGTAAATATTTTTTGAGAGTTCTCCAAATTTTAGAGAATTTCACCCTCTATCTCCTACTTTCTTCGTTTTGGAGAAGATTTTGGGAAATCTGTTAGAGGAAAAATCCCCAAAACCTTCATTTTGGAGAATATGTTGGAGATGTTCTAAGTAATCATTTTCGGTGAGTCCTCCAAATTCGAAAAACTCGTGTGTTAAAACCCAAATTTACTTCTTTATATTCTCGAATAGACCTAAAAGGGATCCAAATAGCAACACCCTTTTCGTTTTAGCACATTCGAACTTATTGATGTTTGAAGACGTTGATCATATAACTTCAAAAGGGTCGATTTTCAAATACACTTGCGACACACTGAGTCCCCAAAAAAAATAATGACACGTACATACGAATCAATATACCTCCTATATAACGATTTGGGCAGTTGAGTCATACCTCCAACTGTTGCCAGACTCCAATGATCCCTTGCTATTTTGTCAACCAGTAAATCAAGATTAGAAACGTGCAAATAGATGCAACTAACGAAAGAATGATCGTGTCCATAGATTTTTTCTTCTTTATCGATGACAAAATGCTATTCACCTGTAAACGCCATGGCATAAAACTTGTTACATTATATATCGCTTATGAAAACATAAATGAGTGAACAGAGAAACTGAAAACCGCCAAATTGACAAGAACTGTACCATGCTGCAACCAATGGTCTCAATTGGCTGATGGTTCACAATTTCATACACCCAAAAATGAGTCTGGTCCAATGGAACCACACAAAACCAACTAAATGCAACCGGCGAGCCTTGAGGCACCTTCTAAGGTCCTGATTGGTTTGTATGATTGGATAGGATCTGGATCCATTCCAATCTCATACTTTGTTTGAAGGATTTCGTGGATTTGATATCCTACAGACCAAACACACCAAATATTCCAAATCCATCCTTCATATTCAAAATCCTTCCATGAGATCCAAATCCCTCAAAGCCATTCCATCAAACCAAACGCCCCTAAGGGCCCATGTTTTTGAGGGATTTGGACTCCGTGGAAGGATTTGGAATCTTTGGTGTGTAGGATTTGGAATCTTTGGTGTGCAGGATTTGGAATGGAATTGAATTTTAGTCTTCTAAATCTTGTTTAGTTTGTAGAATTTGTAATGGAATTTTCTATTTTTTTGTAAATATATGTTTGTTTTAGAAATAATTTGTTTGTTTCTGTATGATGTGGAGGCGATGTAGATATTAGGAAAGATTTGATGAAGGAGGTGGGGTAGAGATACAATGGAAACAATTGAAATCCATGGTATTTGGATTTGAAATGACAACCATCTCAAAAGGATTTCTCTGTCGGTTGTGGGATTTCACTGAAATCCCAGGATTTCAAATCCAAACTTTCCTTCCAAACCAAACACAGAATAGAACTGGAATTCAACTCCAAATCCTACCAAATCCCGCAAACCAAATGGGCCCCTAAGGTTTTTGTAGTTTTAGTAAAGATCAAATGAAACTACTTTTGAATACTTACGGTTGGGAGGCGGCTGCTAACGTTGCTAAGCTTCGAATTGATGCCGCCAAATGTTGAACGTTGAAACATAAGTGTACCTAAAGTTTCTTGTGCTTGTGATATTACACCGTCCATCTGCATCCACGTCAAATAATTAGCACACCATTGAGTCCTTTCATCAAGTAAACGGCACCCACAATCACATTTTAATTTCTTGCTTACTCGCACCATACGCATAAGATTCACAAAATAATATCATTACATGATCAAAATGGAAACTATTTTCTACAAGTTGAAGCATTCTCCAACTTTTTCATGCATAGTTCCTTCGAACATAGACTATTTTCAATTGCTTTAAGATTGAAAAATCATCCAGTTTCAGTTTTTCTTTTTTGAAGAATATACATTTATATACGGCAAATAGAACAAATAAACTCACACACCCTAACCCTTGACCTCCTAGGAAGCCAAGGACTCACATACCGCTAGGCCAAAGACCCTTTGGTATCCAGTTTTATCGGAGACATATTGATAATTTTCAACTGTGTATCTAATTTTCTTTCCATTTTTCTATAGACCGCCACATGGCATCAACTGATTGTTGATGCTACTTCTTATTTGTGCAACAGTTTATAACACACAAAATAAATTCAGTAAGGCAGTAGAACAACATATATCTCAAGGATCAAGATTTATTGTCCCAACATGCCCATTTGAGACAACATTTTGTTGGATTTGTTTTGGGGGGGGGGGGGAGGTTGAAGAAAGAAAAGAAAGCTTGAAGTATATGATATTGTCATATCTTTAGATCAGAGGTGGACACAGGAATTTTTTCAAGTGGTAGCACAATATAACTAAAAAAATATCGAACTTTTTTTTTCACAATACTAGTACAGATCTGTTGGTTGGTTCCTTGTCCTCACATAGAAGAGACCCATGTTCAAGTCTCTTGCCTACATATATAATTAAAACGCAAGAGGTATATAAAAGAACACCAAAATTTAAGCTAAAAACAACAAATTTCACGACAGTGGGACTCGAACCTGAGTCTTTTGTACAAAGGCAAGAGCATTTATTATGTATCGTCTCAGCAATTAAAGTCTTGTGTAACATTTCAGTTTCAAAAACAATATAGTGGCACCCAACAAAAAAATATGGTGGCACCGTTCAGAAATGTATTTTTTTCCATTATTGACGGAACCATGAAGCGGTGGCCGTGCCACCGTATCATCCCATGTGGGCCCACCCCTGCTTTAGATTCAGTTTTGATTGCAATTAAGTTCAACGAATGGATCTAGTTACACGCACCTGCCCCGTACTTCTCATAAGAGTAGCACGCTCCTTAAGGAGAGACTGCTCTTGAGACGCACCACCCTCTTCAAGATCTAATCTTGTTCGGTCAAACTCCCTGAAATCCTCGAGCAGTGATGCATGCTCTCTTTTCGCTCTGAGGCTAGATCGAAGCCGATTGAACTCCTGCAATCAAATATATATAAGAATGAACAGTGACAAGCAAACATTGTTCATAGTATTAGAGATGGGTCATAAGAGGATATAAACATTCGTTCTTAACTTGGTAGACTCAAACAAGTTATAGATCTGATACACCTGATGACTGAACAGCATGGAAGAAATGTTGATCCTCTTTATGAATGAAAGAAGCATTGAAGTATCAAAGAACAAATTTACCTGACTAAGATCATGATGAATTTCTTGATGACGAGTTAATGTGTGAGAAAATATTTCTGATCCTCCCGATGACACCCATGCTTGCATTTGTGAAATTACATGATGCAGTTGTTTGAGTAATTGTTGTATCCCTGATGCAAGATCGTTCTCGCTACCATCATCAACTTTAATTGAAACTAATTTACGATACAAATGCATTTGATCATCCAATTGAGCTTCAAGCTTCCTTGCCTGCAAAAATACACCATCAACCCAAACTCTTAAGCTTTGAAGACTAGTTACAGTCTTACAGATGGCACCTGATGCTCCAGTTACTTAAAATGGAGAACTACGCAAAATGCATCATGAACCACCTCATGGTGGAGTTATAATCCAGAAAGGCATAACTATTTGAACTTCTTAACAAACTGAACAACCCTTAAAATTACCATAAGAATCATCTCTATTTTTTTACATCAAAAGATATCAATATAAATGTCGATGCTTTCACATGTTCATCCTCCCAATTATCGATAAGTTCCTAAACTAGATTCAATTTTGTCCATTTGTCATCGGTACAACTTATCGTTCCTGTTGATTATGGTATTCAAGATTGCCCAATTACTGATTATTGTTAGGGCACTTTAGACACTTATAGTATTGGTTCTGGTACGCCATATCACCCAGTTTCCACTTCAAGCCAACCAAATTGATCTCGATCTAGATCCAATCACCATTGTTTTAAAAATCCTAATAAGTCAAAACCTCCCCAAATTCTTCCGAACAATTAATCTCAAATTCAGCACTTACAAGTGAGATAAGTAAGTTGGGAAAAAGGAAATTTAACGATGAAAACACATAATTGAGAAGAAAAATATAGGAAACTAAAAAACCTGGTTTCGCAAGGAGTCCCAAGAGGTTGGCGGATCCATGGGAGAAGGAGAGTTTTTAGGGAGGATTCAGTTGAATTGAGTTTTTTAGAGAGAGAAATTGTTTAGAAATGTGATGGACCGACAGACGACACCATTTGCACAAATAAAATTAAATAAAATAAAAAACCCTTTGCGTGTAATTGGAAGGGTTTTGTGTATGTTTTAAGCCATCTCAAATTTTTTTTTAATAATGTGTTTTGCTAAATTTAGCGGTTTTGACTTTTAAAAATCATGTGAGAATAAGAGTTAAGATGATAAGTATAAAAAAAAATACTGATCCTTGACCATCTTAGGATTGTGTGACCATAAAAAAGGTCCAGATCTTTGATCAACTTTAATCTCAAACATATCCATAAATCAAGCTTCATACTGGATTGATATAATACATCTCATCCTAATATATATTTAAGGATAGTTTCTCATTATAACTCTCATTCTCATCGGAATCTAAGACAAAATAAAAATTAAGGCTTTTGTACAAGAACTCAAAAAATGTAAGGTACTTATAAAAACTGTCTCAAACGATGATTCTTTAAAAAAAAAAAAAAAGAAGAGAGAAAGGGAAACCATCCACAAACATGCATCCATCATCCATGTCAAAGGGTTAAGAATAAAAGAAGATAGAAATGTATTGAATTGTTATATTAGTTTGTCTATGGTCAAAACACAAAGTCAACTATCAAACTATTAGAACAACTTACAGAGAGGCTTTAATTAATTAAGCTCCTAATTCTCATAAACTTGATTAGTAAACTGTAATTAATCATGCCACAAACATCTAACCCCCAATATTTCTTCTATAAAAACACTTCCCAAACCAAAACACCCTTTACCACCACCACCATCACCACCATCTTTCTACTCCAAAACAATCACACCATGGCCTTCATTTGACTTATCATCACCATCACCATCACCATCTTCCATTACCACATCACCACCATCATTTCTACTCCCATTCACTGGACTGCCTTCATGCTGACCTGGACTCGAACTTGCCACGTCACCGTTGCTCTTTTCATTTCCCGTTACACCATCCGCCTGCACGGTCGACAGGATTTTACCGACTTCTTCATGTATTGCTTCTAGCGGTTGAAGATTCTTTCTCAGCTTGAAACCAGTAGATTTGTTCGCCATATATGCCTCAACCGCATCCACCGCATTTTCCTCAACTATCCTGCACATCTGCACAATAATGTCTCACTCTGTTATCTTCAAAATTCACTTCAAAAAAGTGTGATGATAGAAAAACTTTAAACCAGTAACAACGATTTTGGCAGATTTAACAATTAAGGGATGTTTTGTTGATTTTCCATCAAGTCTTGTATAGATTAATCTGTCTGTATAGATTGAGAAGGTTTTTGTTTAAGGGGGGTTTTTCATAGATGGAAGGTTTGTGTTTTTTAATTGAGAGGGGCAGGTTCGGAAAAAACTTGGCTTTTTGCATAACGCTCCACTTCAGAAGCTTACTGAGTAAGGGGACGTTTGGTTGGTTTCCAGTCAAGTTCTGTATGGATAAAGTTGTCTGTGTGGACTAATATGTCTGTATAGATTGGAAAGGCTTTTTATGGATGGAAGGAACTAGGCATGGGAATTGACCCGACCCGTCGGAGAACCCAATCCACCTGCCCCGGTCGGGAGACAGGGATTCCCCGTTACACCAGGTCTGCCCGTACCTGTATATATGTTAATTGATAAATTACATTCGATATTTTTTATTTCTATTAAATCGGTATATGGTAATTTCTATTTCAATATATTCTGGATGTTACTAGATGTGGTTTTGGATATTACTCTATGTTTTGGTACATGTAATGTTAATTTTTTAGATTAAATTTAATTTCTTTTGTTTTCAATTTATTAGTTACTATATGATGATGTATATTTTTTATATTAAATTAAATCCTTTTGATTCTAGGTTTATTAGAAAAATGTGAGATTTAAACATGCGTGGCGTCTCATACATTTGAATTTTAAAAAAACTTAAACAGAAAAAAATCCCCGTTCCCCATTAGGGACAGGAATGGGGATGTAATCATATTCCCCGGCGGAGATGGGGACGGGGACAAAGATGGGGGATCTGAGACGGAGACGGGGATTGGGGGCCCCACTCCATTACCATGCCTAGAAGGAACGTGTTTTTTTTATTGGAAAGGGCAGGTTTGGAAAAAACTTGGCTTTCTGCATAAAGCTCCCCCTAAAAGCTTACTGAATAAGCCACTTCCTATATCATGAAGCCACTACCAACCAGTCATGCATAGCTTACCAAATAAGCTGCGAGTCTCATTAAGCTTATTAAGCTGCTAATGAACAGGCCCTAAGATACTCTATCATTAAGCTACTACCAAACGGTCATGTATAGCTGACCGTATAAGCCGAGTCCCATTAAGCTCGTTAAGTTGCTAACAAACAGGCCCTTACCTCATTATAAAGGCGCCCCATTGCCAAACGATCTGTTTTATCATCACAAGCAGTCGCTGATATTTCTTCTGGAGCTGTATGCAGAGACAAAGGGGTAGATGAGATTTCCCAATTAAGTTTTGCATCCGTGTTTCATAGGACGGAATGCAATAATCACATTTTCTACTTACAGTCATGTTTAAAGTTTTAGACACTTACGGATAACTTCGAGTCGAGGTAAATGCCCAATCATCTGGGAACATGTCTCATTGTGGCCTGTACTTGCTCTGTCTACAACCTTTTGTTCAGTCTCCATATCATCATTTCGAATCTCATTGGGCTTTTCATCGCCCTGTTATGAAGTTCAATTAAGAAACTAATGAGCAGAAGAGTAGGAAATGGACATTTATGTCCATTTAGATAAAGGGTTTTGTCCAAAATAGCCGATTTGACCCCCCCCCTCTCACTTTATTGCCACCTTTTCAACTTATTGACCAAAATAGCCTGTGCAACCCACTTTTTTCAATATAATATTCAGAAAAAGTAGACATTATGCAAGTTGTGTAAGTGTTATTTAGTAATGTCTGCATGGACAGGTTATGTGGCACACACTCCTCCATGGACAATATATATCACATAGCTTGTCCATGTAGACATTACGCAAGTAGCACTTACACAACTTGCATAATGTCTTAACTTTTCTGAATATTACATTGAAAAAAGTGGGTTAAACAAGTTGCATAAGTGCCACTTGCTTAATCTTGGCTATTTCGGTCATTAAAGTTAAAAAGTGGATCGTTCGCGAGTCCAACTCGCTCTCTTGCCACTAAAAGAGTTCATCGCCTGCCTTAGACTCAGGCTGATGACTCCCAAGAGCTCCGCTATGAAGTGAAGGGGGCGGGGGTCAAATTGGCTATTTGGACAATTTAGGGAGGTTCAAAAGAAAACCCCCCAAAAAATAAAAATCTGAGGAACACCCTGGTAACCATTCATCTGGACAGTATGCACATGTGCATACGTTAATTGAAGTTGTTTTTTGGTTTTTATGCACATATGCACATGTCTATACCAGACAAATTGCTTATAAATTACTTATGCATATGTGCATACCTTCCAGATGAACGACTACCAAGGTGTTCCTCAATTTTTCGTTTTTTTTTTTTTTTTTGCGGTTTTCCCCTGAACCTGACCCTTCTAATTTAAATATCATTTTTACTTTGGGTAAATTTATAATTACAAGGCTTTTCATGAAAGAAAACATTAGACCGACTTACAAAGTATTCTTTTTGGTATTCGGCATTAAGTCCTTTTTCTAGAAGGAGGACACGTTTCTTGACAAACTCAACCAGTCTTCTCTGCATCTCTCTGAAGTGATATAATGCATTATTTGCAGTAGCAGAATCTTGTGCTTGAGAAGTGGCTGCTTGAGCTTCAAGACCTCCAGGCGCCGCGGCAGCAAACTGAGCTTGAGAAGCTCCTGGGACACTTAGATTTACACCCGGAAGATTCAACTCTTGACAGATGACTTCCTGAACCCTCAAGTCCTTATCATCAACAATAGCTTGCCATCTTCCGTAACCGTGCCTTTATATACACACACAAAATAAGCCACATAAAAAACTAGGGTCAGGTTCAGGGGAAAAACGCAAAAAAAAATGAAAAATTGATGAACACCCTGGTAACTGTTTATCAGGACAGTATGCACATGTGCATCAATTTGTCCGGTATACACGTGTGCATAAAAACCAAAAAACAGCTTCAATTACTTCTACACACATGTGCATACAGTCCATATGAATAGTAATCAGGGTGTTCCTCAGTTTTTCATTTTTTGGGGGGTTTTCCCCTTAAACTCCCTCTGAAAAACTAATGTAATTCCACTCAAATAATGGATGTTTATTTAACTAGCATCTTCCAAAAATCAAACACCCCAAATAAGATGTCTTGCAAGATTCATATTGGGGCATGTATAAGCTCAAAATCAGTTTCTAAATATATAAAAAAAATTATTGAAAACATTTAAACTGGAGCTTACTTCAACACAGCACGGAGTAGGATCCGATCATGCTCCTCCTTCCAAAATTTTAAACCTTTTAATCCTGGATACCGATAAACGATGTCATCTGAAAAAAGGGGAGCAGATGGATTCTCTGAAGAACATTTCACCTGTAACAATAGAAAACAAGGGCCCACAAGATTAAGATACATACAAGAGTAGACGAAATAACATAATCCATATAGTTCTTTTCTAAATACTAGGTCTGATTGAAAGTCAGAAATAATCTCTCTTTTTTTTAAACTGAAATAGAAAATCACGTAGTACTTCTTACTTGAAGGCTAGGACTTACTTTATCTCTTACAAGAAGCAGAACTGCAATCCTGACAAGTACGTCCTCTATTCTTAGCCCTTCTTTTGGAACACCGTCTGCCATTAAAGATTGTTATAAAACATGGACTCAATGGCAGCACATACAAACAGACATAACATGAGTAATATAAGAGTTACAAAAAAAAATCACCACAAAAAATACCTGAAAAAGTCGATGCGTCTGTAATATCTTCAGAAATGTGTGACAAAAAGAGAGTTCCATAACTGCATAACATAGAAGTGCAGCATCAGAATGTTGCCAGGAATAAACCAAAATACCACCTTTAATATTTTAATCTACCAACAAAAATTTGTCCACTAATATAAATCTTCCAAATGCAAAAATCCATAGATTCTAGTCACAATTTGATATTCTGTCAATCATTAACGATCTCCATTATTTCCTTTTAACCTCCATTTACCATGATATTTCTTACTAATTTTGAGAGAGAAGCAACCCATTTAACACTCTAAGTAAAAAATGTCTCCTTTCTTGGCATGAAGGAAATAAAAACAACTCACACTTTTATTTCCTCATAACTCTTCTGCTTTAAGCGTGAAGTAAATTCTGCCCAATCAAAGTCTCCAACCCCAAATCTGCAATGTACTTTACTCAGTTAATAATACCACAAATGGATGTAAAACTAGGTCAAAGCATAATATCTCGTCAAAGAAACTCTCTTTTATCACAACAAGACAGCAGAATCACATTGCTGGCAAACCTCATCAAGATTTGAACAAATTGAGCCCTTTGACTTTGATTAAATCCCAGTACTCTGAAGGCTCTCCCTTCACCTTCCATAAGAGGGAGTAGCTCAGCATTATCAACTGTAAAAAGGATTCAAAGAAGAGCCCATCACTAAATGAAGCAAATTATGCAACTTACAAAAGACGAATAACACAACTGAAAATGTACCACGTGTTTTCTTCCTGTGGGGCTTTCTCACAGGTGCTATTCCAGCTGAATTATCCCCATCAGACAACTCCACTTCATAATTATCATCTGCATCAGAACTTACGTCTTCCAACCCAGCAAGATCATCATCTTCAACAGACACCATCTAAATATTACCAAAAAGTTCAAATTCAATTAATGGCATATAATCATAAAGAAGCATGGTACACAATGAGCTGTTGTCACAAGAAACTCAAAACATAACGTACATTTTCAAAACTCGACGAAGAAAAAGGAAAGTAGATCAAGCCCATGCATCAAAAAGTTCATAAACATACATGCATAAAATTTTCATATGGAGAGACCAACCTGCTTACGACTTCTTTTTCCCTTGCCCATAGAATTGAACTCTTCAATTTTATGCACTTCATATCTATCTTTTAGCAACTCCTCCCAATAACTTGCTTTTTCTGGATTGTTTGCTGCACTTTTGTTCTCTGCCAATGGCTCTTGTATTTCCTCTTCCACCCTTGACTCTGCCTCCTCGATGTACTCAAAATTTGCCACCTAAATACACAACAAAACGAACCATACATCAGAAACTGAAACCTGAGTTTGTGTTGAACCGTGTCTTAGGAATCATGCCTTGTAACAGAGGGATCATTCCTTTTCTAAGTGAACAAAATCATTACAAAATGTGAACTTATAGTGGGAACAATGAAAAACCTTAAATGCTTTCAAAAATCCATCTTCTTCTGCATCATCCATTGCAGCATTTTCTTCTTCAGTGTAATCACGGTTAAGCAATCTATCAAAATGTGAACCATTACAAACATTAAAGTGAGAAATGAAGAAATCAGGAAGCATACTTGATAAATAGTACAACAAATCTGGACTTTCCATAAGACATAAGAATGTAAGCATAGATGTTCATATATCCTGCATATAAAAATTTACCTATCTATTGCTGCATCATCATAATGAATTTGTCTTGATTTCATAGCCTCATCGTTCTCATCAGCAAATAATTCCTTTGACCCATACCTTATGATGTCATCCAACTCTTCCTACATTAATAACATCAGAGAATATACACCAACAACTTTTTTGATAAATCGTAATATTTCCCTCTAGTCTCTACCTGCATATGAACATCAAAAAAGAACCCACACCATCCCAGAAACTTATTCAACAGAGAAAAATCACACTTTTATGTTTTTTACAAAGTGAAACCCATCTTAGCATTAATCAATTATAATTAATAACTTTAACAGCATCCGTAAAAGTACCTGATTGATGTTTTGATTTTTAAGCTTGCCAACAACCAAATGCTCTAAGACCATCTTCTTCTTGGTCATCTCCATCATCCTTTCTTCAATTGTTCCTCTTGTTATGAGTCTAAATATCATCACCTGCAAAATGGCAGATGCTAAAAATTCATAGACATGCACCCATTTTAAGCAGCCAAGATCCTCCTGCAACAACTTCTAACCTTATTTTTCTGTCCAAGGCGATGAGCTCTGGCCATGGCTTGTAGATCAGCATGAGGATTCCAATCACTGTAAAGAAAAAGTTACCAAGATATAAAGAACTGCAAAAAGATGTGATACATCATTACATGTATACACAACATAAAGTTAAAGAAAGCCATAATGTTATGAAGTCCTACAAAAATTGTACATATACTTGATCGTGAAAACATACAAGCTTACCTGTCATAAATAATAACTGTGTCTGCAGTGGCAAGGTTTATGCCCAGACCGCCGGCTCTAGTAGATAGCAGAAAGCAAAATCTAGAAGAATTACTGGCATTGAACCTATCAATTCGAACTTGTCTTTCCCCACCACTGACTTTTCCATCAATTCGTTCATATAGCCATTTCTGAAGAGCATGTAAAAAAATTAGAAATCAGATCAATGTCCAAATGAAAAGAAAACTAGTTTAGCATACACACCTTGTAATTACAATAATCTTCAAGCAAATCCAGCATGTGCTGAAATTGTGTATATATTAAAACTCGATGTCCTTGTTCTTTGAGCTTCACCATCATTTTGTCCAAAAGCTGCAATTTCCCAGAAGAATCCAACAGTTGTCTAACAGATGGAAATTGACATTGATGCACAAGAAAAAGATCAATAATTAGAAACATAGAAAACATTCGATAGGCTAGTCATTTCACACATTGAGAAATATCTAATAATGTTTATGGTTAAAAAGATTACTTGTAAAATTCATTGGTGTCTTCCGGTTCAACTCCCTCCAGCATAAAAGGATGACAACAGAGCTTGCGCAATTCCATAACCACATTGATGAGAGAAATCTGAATTCAGTTACAAGTATCAGATGGTTACTTTTTAGTCCAAGAAAAGTTGATGGTATATTGAGGACTCAAAATCGTCGTCTATTCACCTGGGCACCTCCTCGGCGAGTTAATATCTGATAGTTACGAGTTAGAATTGCCTTGTAGTACTCTTTCTGTTTGCTACTTAATTCCACACGTAAAATGAGCTCCTTTTTAGGAGGTAGCTTCTTCATGACATCTTTCTTCACTCCTGTCATTTAGCCCCAAAAATTCATGAATCTATAACAACACCATACGACTTTTCTCCATCACGATAAAAGAGAACATCATAACACATGTTATTATACAGTTAAACAGAAACAAAACAAGCACAAGATTTCAGATGTTTACTTCTTAGAAGATGGGGGGCCAACATCTTATGGAGCCTTGAAACCTGCTCTTCTTGATTAATATCCTTGAACTCTTCCTGAAACTCCTCCAAACTTGAGAACTGCAAACGTTTGTAGTGAAAGGAGAACATGCTTTAGGGTTATCTACCTCCCCTTAAAGTAACATTACAAACAGTTGGTGCTAATGAGTTGCAGTAATACTAACCTTCCCAGCATCAAGGAAATGCATAAGCATGAAAAGCTCATCCAAGTTGTTCTGAAGGCATTTAATATTCAGGTTAAAACTAAACATTAAGGCATTTGCGATTCAGGGTTTTGCAAAATAAGCATATATGATTCACATGGCATATGTTAAAGGGGTTTTGCAGAATAAGTATCTAAGGTTCACATGGCTTGTTCTGAAACGCTATAACACACCTGAAGAGGGGTTCCAGTCAATAATGTACGATGTCTGGTGTTAAACTGCTTCAATGAAGAAAACAACTTCGAATCCTTATTCTTAAGACGATGGCCTTCATCCACTATCTACACGATTGGTGAGAATTTAGGAAGCAAAGATACAGGATCTAAGCAGTGTACCAAAACAGTGAAAAAGAGGTACCATGGTCTCCCAGTTTATTGCCTTCAACGACCCATTATCTATATTGATCATTTCATAAGATGTCAATAGCACATCAAATTTTATCCTCTCTTGCTTACTTTCACTTGTCCCATGACTGGACTTCTTCTTCTTGTCCTTCTTATGAGACTTGGGAAAGTAAAATTCATATTCTCGTATGACAGCACGAGAAGCAGCCGTTCCAACATACATAACCTGCAGTGGTTACCTTATTATTCTGGAGAATAACACACTTTATCAAAATGATATAAAAATATTGCAAACTGAGAGATCTTGTAACGTACAACATTCATATGAGGTGCCCATGTGGCAAATTCACGTTCCCAGTTCCGCAATGTAGAAAGTGGTGCTACTACAATATGTGGAGCGACGTTCTCTTCATATAGAGAGGCTAGAAAGGCAATACTTTGTATCGTTTTTCCTGAAATAGAACATAATAATTTAAGTTGTAGCTAACATACATGTAGAAGAGCCATGGGGAAAAGGAAAACATACCAAGACCCATCTCATCTGCTAGTATCACGTGTGTTTGTTTGGACCATGAGAAACGCAAGAAGTTCAATCCTTCAAGCTGATATGGATGGAGCTCACCTGCAGTTGCACCAAAAAAGATTGTCACATCTTAGCGACCAAATTAAAAGACTTACTAAATTATTCTGGCATAGTAACAACAGAGTTGCCAAATCAGAATAGATATTGTATACCTCCAGGAAGAAATTCGGGACTCTTTTCAAATTGCTGAAAATCTTTTAGTTTCTTTTTTGCGTCTGTCGCATCACGATTGTTGCTTTTCTGCTTCCTTAGTTTCCGATATCTCGACTGCAATCTATTAAAGTTCTCAATTTGTTGTTGAAATGACAAGATATCCGATTCAGATTCCCAATAACATTCATCATAGTTAAGCCCCACCCATTTGACTAGATATTCCTTCTCCTCGTCATCTTGCCTGATCCATCCACCAGATATCAACCATCCTTAGTTTATTTGTCAATAAACAGCATTCTTAAACAAAAACAGAACAAGAACTAGAAGATAAACCTCAAGATATATGACACAATAAAAATACTTATAATGTCAACAAGGTCAACAAAAGAACTGAAACAAATCCCAAAAATGGCCCCTCTCTTTCACTCATCATATACTTTAGTTACAATGTGCATTTAATTGTATTAAACTATCACCATTTAGTTCTATTTGAGCCCAAAATATAACAAGTAAAGAATCTTGAAACAGAATATTAATAAGGTTTTGATTTTTGACACAATTAACCTCAGATCATAAGTCTAACCAAAAGGGATGGAAAGAGATAGAGATACTAGGAAACAATAATGTAAGATTTCACTCAAAAACTAGCACCAAAACATTTTTATCTAACAGCTAATATATGATATTTCAGAAAGTTGACCTGCAAGCAAGAATCCGATCAACCATTGTATACTCTGGTCTAATTGGGACAAAATCATCTTCAGAATTGCTGCCCACAGGCATCTGCTTGCGGAAATTGTTTACTTTTGTCCTTAAGCGAGGAAGCTCCTTGTAAGCTTTTATAAACTCCTTTTCCGGCACCCTGAAATACAGATGATTTTGAAGAAAAGGCATCTGAATTAATTACTAAGAAACTGATCAAACGAAATAATTTGATCCATACGAATAAACCAAACAAATCCAATCCAGTAAATCAAAGGGATAAGTTGCTGTCAACAAACAAACAACATCAAATCCAGGACACTTTTTCAACAGAGAAAAAGTTTAACTTTGTAAAAACCATATCATGTGTGCATATTTGTGCTAGTCAACAAAACCATCTTAAAGAACATGAGGGTTTACAAAATAACTATGAGCAAAATATACCATGTGCAGTGGAGATAAGATAGTCCTTTCCACTTCACAAGATATTGTTTCACAAATATCTGCTTTGAACCCAGCTTGGAGGCATCACTATCATCAGCAACCGTAGGCCGCATTTCACAGTCCAAAATCTTTTCTATATCATTCAGAGGGTTAACCTGTGAGTGCAAAACATGATTAAAATCAAATTATAGTACTTAAGTGTGAAAGGCAAGCAGTTCACATAGTTATTCCAGAACATACACATTTTGGACACCTCCAGCTGGTAGGAAGCGGAGCTTTTAGAGGTGGTAGTAAACACTTAGGGTGGTACTCGTAAGTGCATGTTTCACAAATTAGTAGATTCCCAGATTCGCCACAAGCGTGACATGATTCCTCTTTCTGTAACCAAATGACAACAGAACTAAATGTAACCTACGCATAAGGAAGAAATCTTAAAGATGGAAAGTTTGCTAAACAAAGAGAGGTACCGCATCATCTCTGACAATCTTCTCAAATTGCTCTGGCTTCTTGGATTTCCCGTGCAAAAGGTCCGCCTCATCGTCAGATTCATCCAAACTATAGCGGGGCCTTGAATCCGATCTAACACGAAGTCTCTCAACTAAACTACTCATCCTCTGCAAAGTTACCAACAAACTTATTAATTTTCATTCACCCATAAAAATAAAGGGAAAGTAGTTACAATAACAAGCCGTTACCATATCAAAGAACATCATAACAATTAACAACACACTTAAATTGGCTAGCATGAGGCGGATGTAAGAAGGCCTCTCCTTGGAATTTCTAACGAACATTTACAAGGACAAATTGTTATAGCTTATAAGTAGCAGAATGTCTTCAAACCCTCTAATCAAATTCCACTTTTTGTGATCAAGGCAAACTTCCACTATAAACTATCAGTACAAATGTACAATAAAGGTGTTTTGTTTAACAAGCGACTAGAATAAAAGCCCTAATATATCAACATCATTCGCAAATAAAGATGCACAATTAAAGAATGCTGAAACAGAAAATCACAAGAGACCCCAGATGAATGTCAATTGAGGGGTATCGTGCCATTTCTCAAAGGTTTGTTCTAAGCAAAACAACTAAATATTTGCGCCTGATTAGACATGAATCCTCGTGATTAGGGTTTCTAGCAAACGCAACCCCACTTCTACGAAGTGTGAGCAAAATGTAATAAGAAAAACTCAAATGAGGCCCCAACAGAATGTCAATTTGAACCGACCAATCTATCCAAAAAGGGTTTAGCAGAACTTACCTAAAATCAGCGATCTTGCAACTTCCTATCAAACTCAAACCCACGTGATTGAGATTTAGGGTTTCAGAACACAGAACACAAATTCTAGGAAAAAAGTTACAACTTCACGGAATTGGGTATTAGGGCTTTCATCAAATCTGAAGTCCATGGGCGTGCGAGCGTGTGTCTATAAGTAATCAGAAGCAAAAAAAGAAGAAGACAGTGATAGATAATTGACCTGATGATGACCAGTTTCTGTGTTTCAAATCCCCTTTCTTCGAGTTAGGATTAGGAGTGAAGAAATTTGAGAAACCCCTGTGAGAAAAAAGGTGATAGATTTCCCTTAACCTCTGTTTTTTCTTTACCCTTTCTTTTGCTTTTCTTTTACCCCTGATTTACTAGGGTTCTTTTTTATATTAGAGAAGGGAGAGGTTCAGGCAACAGGGATGATCTTTATACATAATTAAATACACATATATTAAATTATAATATCTTCTTTTAAGAAATAAATAGCATGTAATATGAAAAAAAAATTCAAGGACTTAATCATTCCAAACAAGAAAGTTTATTGGTTTTTATTATACTTTTTCCTATGAAAATATACTTGTAACACTCTCAAATTCCAAAGCAACGTATTATTCCAATAACTTCAAATCCAACTTAAAATCATGGTGTAAGTTATTGATAGCTCACTATTTGAAACTTATAAAAAACTAACAATTTTCATCTTCTATCCATGTAAGATGAGTTATTACAAACTCCCCTACTTAAACTCCTGATGTCCTCGTCAGGCCTACTTGGAATCTTCCTTCTTATCATCGGCAATGTAGGATTCGCCTAAGTTGTTACAAACACCCCATCTCGAGGACTCATCATACTCGATGAGGTTTGTCCCAACATTCTGATAGTACAAAGATTGACTCTAATACCATTTGTAACACCTCAAAACCCAAAGTAATAGATTGACCCAATAACTTCGAATCTAACTTAAACCCATGATAGAAGTTATTGGTAGTCCATTACTTGAGATTTATAAGAAGCTAGCAATTTTAACCTTCTATCTATATAAGACGAGTTGTTACAATATTATTATTATTATTATTTAGAAGCGATATAATATAGGTGGTTTCTTTTATTATAGATATATGTTTACAATAGGAATGTCACAAAGTTTTAAGAATACATAATTATTACATTGATTAAATAATTAATGATATTTTATCGTGAATTATAAAGATAAAAACTATCTTTATCTTATAATTAAGAGTAAAACGAAAATGAAAACTTACTTTTGAAAGTGATCACTTATTTTTAGAAAAATAAAAATATGGACACTTAATTTGGAACGAATGAAGTAACATATAGTGCAAAAATGCCCTATTTTTAATAAACAAATCTACATATTTATTTTCGTCTGGTCTCTCTAGTATTGATTAGAAGTATGGTCTTTCTATTATTTAATTAGAAGATATTGTTTGAGGGGCAAAGAAAAGGCAATGTGAATAGGATGTGGGTAGAAAAATTAAGGAAAGATAGAAGATTTTTAATTAGGCGAATAATCATGTGAGAAAAAAAGTTACAGTGAGAAGTATAATAAAATATCTGAACTCTTGATCACATTATTTTTCATGTCCACCAATGAGTTATGCTTTAGAAGAGAATTTATCTGGTGTTCAATTTGTTATGATTCTCTGTACTCGTGTGAAATTTACCCCGTTGGATCCACATGCGTCACAAAGTAGGATCATTTTTCTCATTTGACAATTTTTTTATTTAATAAAAATTTCAATTTATACGAGTTTGCATGTAATTTGTACTGACCTTTAAAAATCTCAAGAAAAAAAACCTTTTCCCTTCTCTAGTCATTATTCCCATCTTCAACCACCACATGCCACCGACACACAGACACACATCAAATTAACCCAAATCCAAAACATAGTCACCCAAAACTCAAACTCAACCTTATCTCACTTCAAGCCTCAATGGCTGTTCACCCAAATATTTATTTGATAAGTGTTTGTTAGTAAAACTCAACACTGTATTCACCTTACCGAGGAATACTTATAGTCCATTGAAATGACATTCTATGATATAATTTTCTCGATAAACGTTAATCGGGTAAGAGTCAAAACACCAACTTAAGGTTAGGATATAGTTTTCGTATAACCATAGGGACTAAATTTGTAATTTACTCTAAAAAAACAAGAAAATTGAGACAAGTCCAACGGTTGAAAGGAAAATCTTTCCCGTTATAAGTCGGTGATCTTCTCCGGACTCGTATAAGAATAATCTGCTGTCCCAATTCACGATAATCACACAACGTATTTTTTTCTGCCTTTTCGTTTTTCTGTTCTTGATCGATTTTGTCATCATCAATTTCCAGTTTGCCCCTTTTTCTTCCACAGATTGACTGATTTCTTCTCAGATTGGGCCTGACACTGTTATTATCCAACAAATACATTTACTGGTTAAGATCAAGGGTTCTTATGACCTGCTAACTGTTCTTCATTTAGGTAACAAATCATATCATTGGGGTTTACCGTATCTTTACGATTCTTTCAGTCGAAATACGAATGTACTTTGTTTTTTATATCGGAAACTTGCTGCTCAATTCCGACAAGAAACTGTGTTTCCCTGAGGTACCCGTTCATCTCTTTCACGGTGTTAAATGGTGCCTCAAAATCTTGGTCTTATCCTTATGCAGCTAGGGATGGATGGTCCTAACTATTATTCTATCTCTACAGCACAAGCAACTTCTGTATATTAAATGCAGCAAATCACATCATCAGAGGTGAAACCGTAAGTGCTTTTGCTTCACACATCTACATGCAAAAAGATTTGATCTTTTTTTGGTCTTGCTAATATATTTTACTGTTAGTTTTTGGGTGTTCTTCCTTTCTTGAAATAGCATAGTTAGTTTTAAAGGTGTCTAATAGGTACAGAAGACATGTGCTTCCATTTCCTCTTTGTTGTTGCAGCCTATCTTCAGTTAGCTTGCTTGTTTAGTCTAGTATCAGTGATGAAATGGCGGAGAACAAGCCTTCTAACTATACCAGTGATTTGAAAACAAATATACATTCCATCTTCTTAGATTCAAGGCATATTAAACACAGGATAAAAAAGGGGGCCTTGGTCCCCCACTTCCCCAATGGAGATCCGCCCCTGCAGTGATGGCTCTGGAGGGCGGGTTGTGGTTTGTGTCAAAACGCTTAGATCACCCACTTGGACAAGGAACCCTAAGATTTGGAAGGTGATAATGATGCTTTCCCATTATAAACATGAAAATCTTGGATCTCTCTTGGGCTATCCTTGTGTATGAGTATCTATCTAGCAAAAGCGTCGACATGTATCTTAGTAGCACTAAATGCTCCTGGATCCAATGTCTTGACATATGCATTGGGGTGGCTCATGGACTAAACTGTAAAGTATCTTCACAATGACCACACAGAGTGCTACATGATGTTGTTAGATGGAAAATAGAGCGCCAAGATTTCAGATATTGGCCTTAATACAAGGGACGAACCCAAATTTTTTTTTTCAAACCGTCGTATGAAACAAATATAGGGATATTGTTCATGCGTTGGTTAGTTCATTGCTTTTCATATATGAGGTCATGTGTTCGAGTCTTATTTTGCAATTCTTTTTTCTAGAAACATAATAGATCTGGGTCTGGAGTGGAAGAAAAGCCTTGCAAACCAACTATACCAAGGAAAACTTGTGTTCCCATTGTAGTTTCAGAATATATACGGTGGCACTTTCACGACCCTAGAATTTTTTACACTATGACGGATGAAAAATATGGTGGCATGGGCCAACGAATGCTCTACATTGGGTCCGTCCATGCTTAATACACGATCACATAAGGGGGAATCACACACATTTCAGGGAGGATTTCGATTAAGGCCAAAAGACATGTGCACATGTACTAAAATAAAATGTAATGTAATCCATAAAGAAATGGATAAGTTCTCTACAATCGCATATCGATGTTTACAAAGAGATCGCAATACACGTCCATCTACTGTTAAGATCATAAAAAAACTTGAAATTGCACTTCAAGATCAAGCAAGTTCTCTTTAAGATACAAATCAATTTTACTTTGCTCGTATTTTAAATAATGATCATTTCTTGGAATTCTATGTTCTCTAGCTGAACCATGATTTTAAGAAGAAAAAGAGGTTGAAATATCATGGAGACGTTGAAGAAGACGTTCCTGTTGCTGATATGTCTGAGGAGTTGAAAGCATAGGATGAGGATTTATCGGCTTTGTCATATGGCAATCAAATGTCAGATTTTTGATGTCTTAATAAGCAGGATGTTTAGAAGATCATATAAATAAATAGTTTAAATTAGAATACATGTAATTAATAAGTATATATTAAAAAAAACTAGAAGGGTACTCGCGCAATGCAGCGAGACATATCTCGATTTTAATGTTTCATTTTAATTTTTTGGTCTCTGTCGATGTTATATTAAAAGAAACTAGAAGGGTACTCGCGCAACCCAGAACACCGTTTTTAACACCAAAATGGGACGGTGATCTGTTTGCTACACCCCATCATTGGAATGCAGGATCAGACAATTGTTTCCTGTTGAAAATAATTTGCAAAATGAGAAAGGGAAGAAGAGAGTTAAAGCTTGGTGGGCAAGTGTACCCTACAACTGAAGAGAGATGGGAGGATAAGAATGTGAAGAAATCCAAAATTACGTCGAACCTTGCAGTTTGCCAGGTGGATGATTGTCGAACTGATTTAAGCAGTGCCAAGGATTATCATAGAAGACATTGGTGTTGAATGTGATGAAGAGGTTTTGTCAGCAGTGCAGTGCAGCAGGTCCGTACGTTCTTCTATTGCTTTTTGATCGACTATAATTGTAACAACCCCTCCAGATGGATAGAAAATTGGATTTATATGCTCCATATATGTAATGTTGCTATAGCACCCCTATTTATGTTAGAATCGGGTGAAAATCATATATTGAAAATGTAAAAAGTAAGTCATGATGTTGATGTGTGTGAGGTGAAAATTAGTAGGTAGGGGTGCGTGCAGCGTGGATTTAGCCTAACCCTACCAATAACTTCCACCATGGTTGTAAGTTGATTTGGAGGTTTATTCAGCCGGTTTGCTTTTGGGCTTCGGTATAATAAACTCACGTTCCATGTTCTGGTCGACTATAGCCACTCTCATATGTAGGTGTTTGGAGTATGATTCTATTTACGTATCCAGATTCCACGTTCTTGAGAAGTTTGATGAAGGAAAAATAAGTTGAATTTAGCCGGAGGATATAAAAGACAGAGGAAGCAGTTATTTGCTCGTCACCAGTCTTCTCAGGATTCTAGTTAACATACAATGTAGTAATCGTTTCTATCGGCTTTATGTTTTTATTTCTTGATCTTGTCCATATGGTAGTTTTGAACAGATCGGTTTAAAATTGTAGAATGTCTATAGGTTGCAATGGGTTAGATTTAAAATTCTTTAAAGTGGAGTGGTAACTAAGGAAACCAAACCAAATCTCAATTTGTGCGAGTTCTTTCTCCTGAATCTTAGGGGCTGTTTGGTTAGTTTTCCGATTAAGTTATGTATGAATAAAGTTGTTGTGTGGATTAATCTACATGTATAGAGTGAGAAGATTTTTGTTTGGAAGGGCTTTTTCAAAGATGGAAGAAAAAAACTTGACTTTCTGAATAAAGCTTCCCACCAGAAGCTTATTGAATAAGCCACTTTCTATACCATTAAGGCACAACCAAACAGTCATGTATAGCTGACTGAATAAGCTGCGAGTCTTGTTAAGCTCATTAAGCTGCTAAGAAACATAGCCTTACATTGTCTACTTACTGTTTTCCATTTAGAATTTTTGGGCTGATATTTAGGATAAGCTATTTATTGATCTTGAAACTTAGCAGTGGAGGAAGCAATAAAATCCACTATTTCTTTATCATTGTAATGTGTGTTTTTTCTTCTTTCATACCTTCCAGATTTATTGAAACTAGAAGGTCTCTTGGAGCCTGTACAGGTGGTTGGTGACACACATGTGGGAGACACTGGTGGCTACACCAACGATGGTGACAGCAACTACATCAGTAGAGGTGGATTCGGGAAAGTTTACAAAGGAGAGCACATCTATTCCGGAGCCCATGTTATAGTTGCTGTCAAACGCTTAGATTCGACACTTGGACAAGGGATCCCAGAGTTTTGGAAAGAGATCATGATGCTTTTCCGTTACAAACATGAACATCTTGTCTCTCTGTTGGGCTTTTCTGATGAAGGTGGTGAGAATATTCTTGTATATAAATATCTAACAAAAGTCTCGACATGTATCTCAGTAGCACCAGTCTCTCCTGGATCCAACGTCTTAACAGTTAACATATGCATCGGAGCAGCTCGTGGCCTAGTATCTTCACAATCCTGGTAGCACCACACATAAAGTGTTACATCGTGATATTAAGAGCTCCAACATTTTCCAAATTCCGACCTTTTAACCAAGAATTCACATTTCTCATTTTCCATGCTGCAGGCACGAATGGGTATTGTGATCCACTTTATGTGGATACAGGATTCTTGACAAAAAATTTGATATATATATACTCTTTTGGGGTAGTATTATTCGAAGTTTTGTGCGGAAGGCTTTGCTTTATGAATTACAATGATAGTGGTCGATTTCTATCGAAGTTGGCACAAAGGTGCTACGAAGAACAGAAAGTAGATACAATTGTCCATACTTGTCTACACGAGCAAATATTGTCATGAAAATGTCCGGATAAGTTCTCAACAATCGCATATCAATGTTTACAAAGAGATCGCAATGAAGTAAGTTTTATACTACTACTATGACGACGTCTGTCAACTACAGGTACAACCAACAATAATACGACTAGTAGATCTGCTGCTGCAACCGATAACTCCAAGACCATGCGTTCTACCAATACTAATGATAACTCCAACATTTGGTTTTATAAAACGTGTTCATCGTCATGTTATAATCATTCGCAAAATAATTTACGTAAATAGAGATTTACCATCAAACCGTTCTCAATCACATACAAAAATGCTGAAATGTCAAATAATTCCTCTTCATTCCGATCATGATTCTTATACCATTAGTCGGAAACAGGATGATGGGGGTAAACCGCCGGAGGTGAGTTTGAAACAATTAGTAAAACGCTTAGATACAACACTTGGACAAGGGACCCCAGAGTTTTGAAAAGAGATCATGATGCTTTCCCATTACAGACATGAGCACCTTGTCCCTCTCTTGGGCAATTTGGATGACGGTAGTGAGCATGTATTGGAATTCTACTTTATCTAGATGAGACACGATTTTGAGAAGGAAAAGAGGTTGAAATCTCGTGGAGATTATTTTGGTGACATACCGATGTCTTTTCGGTTTGCAATAAAAAAAGATCACTTAATTGAAGGATTGCAAGACAATCTTTTTTGAACGATCAAATATCATTTAACTTTTTTCATGAATCTCATGAAAATAAACTGGTCTCATGTGAACCCAACCTTGTATATATATCAAAATAAAATATATGCAACTTTTTCATAATTATGCATCCACTAATTAAAAATATTAAAATAATTATCCTCTTGTCTTGTCATGATAACTTATACAAATTCACAAGCCTGGAAACATGGACTTGTCTTGCTCTTACGAAAATCCTTATGCGAACAATTTTAGTCACATGAAACCATACTTCCTGACACATCATATATACAATCATATGCACTTATAAATCATGTTCTTGCTTCTCAAAATATCTCACAGATTTGTGTGCATCATTTTACTACTAAAACAGTGAGTTTTTTTACGGCAAAATCTGTCAGAGAATTTCAATTTCCGACGAATCTAAGCGTCATAAATCATTCCAATTTTTTTTTGACATTTCGGGTTTTTCTCGAGTTAATTAGCTGGATTAACGATTTAGATTAATTTTACCGATGAAATGTTCAAAAATTATTTTTTTGATTTTTTTCAGAAAATGTTTTTTTAAAGAAAAACAAAAAAAATTAACATTTTTTGACGGATTTTAACTGATTATTTAATTAATTAAAATCCACTAGAAATTGTAAATTAATATTAATTAATTAATACTAAAAAAAGGTTCTCAGATTTTATTTTTATCTACCAATCATAAGAATACACATCGTTAAAAAGAGAAAATAAACTTGAATTAAATAAGACATAGAACTTATAAGACGTGGGATCTTGGGACAATAGATGTTATCCGTCTCAAATGTGGTTTATGGGTTTTCGAAGTACATAATCACATGACATCGTACATGCAGATTTCAAGAGGCGATTGAGATTTTGCCACATGACGGATGCCGAGTTCACCAAATAATAAATTCCAACTAACGATTGATTCAATACCGGTTAAGATGTTAGTGCCTATCATCGATTCCAAAAATGTAAACAAAAAGGACAAACCCGAATTGGTTTTAATCGTTAACAAGCTCTAATGACCCACATTTTCCATAGATAATCGTTGATTAAAATAAGCTCTCTAATCAATCCTTAACCACAAATACAAGTTTAAATAAACTCTTAAACTCATAGGTGCGACTAGCTTTACCGGACTAGAAAAAAATACCAATTCAAGGCCATAAGCTCGGCTTAAATCGCGAGATTTCAAATATTCAATCCGGAAACCTTATCGAAACCAAATGAATACTAGCGTTACTCTATCAAAATTCTAAGACAATTACGTATCTAAAGAATTTTGAATAACCATTCCATAAGAGAATTCCAGTCAGTTAGCTAAACTAATTGAAAACCCAAATATGATTAACATTAAGTTCAGAAATCAAGCAAATAAGCTTGTTCAAACATGTTTACAATGAAAACTCAAAGCAATAACAAATCAAAACATAATTAAATCAATGTTGGAATGAATAAATTAGCAACACATGGCTAAACCAGGTTACTGATTCTAAAAGTCTTAGAATTACCGAAAGAATCAGGAAGATTGATGAGAAAAATTGTTGTCCTCGCCTAATCGAATGATCTCGTCTGTCCTCTCCAATCGAACCAGCCTACTTGCTGTCTTCGCTCCCGCCTCCGTCCTCTCCAATCGAACCCAGCCTCCGACTTTCTGTCTCCACTCTCGCCTTCGTCCTCTCCAATCGAACCAGCCTACTTGCTGTCTTCGCTCCCGCCTCCGTCCTCTCCAATCGAACCCAGCCTACGACTTGTTGTCCTTGTTCACATCCCTCTCTTCTCCGATCGAAACCACGTCTCCTCCAATCGAACCCACCAGATGTGTTGCTGTCTCCTCTCATCTCGATCCCACGAACTGTTGTCGTATATATCCTCCCCAATCGAAACTGCTTGTCGATCAAAATGGAGAGGATATGGGCTCTATTTGGGCTTGATGAAGTCCACAAAAGATATGCCAAAACTTGGGCTTTTGCTTTTCTTTTTGGGCCGGACTCTACAAAATAAAACAAAGGTCAAGTAAACACATTTATTCACAAAATGATTAAGATAAAAGGCTTCTTAACTTTAATTTTTTTTTATTATCAACGACTTAAGACCCAATAATTCATGAATTTCCTAAACTCAATCCCAATGAATTAATGACAATGTTATGGTCGCTGTCAAACGCTTATATACGACACTTGGACAAGGACTCCAGAGTTTTGAAAAAATATCGTGATGCTTTCCCGTTACAGACATGAGCACCTTGTCTGTCTTTTGGGCTATTCGGATGACGGTGGTGAGAATATCCTTGCATACGAGTATCTACCAAACAAAAGTCTCGACATGTATCTCAGTAGCGCTACTCTCTCCTGGATCCAATGTCTTAAAATATATATCAGGGTCGCTCGTGGCCTAGAGTATCTTCACAATCCTGGTAGAACCACACAGAGAGTGTTACACCATGATATTAAGAGCTCCAAGATTTTAGATTTTTAAAAATTATATGAAAACTCTAAAATTTATGAGATCTTTGACATCCATCCTAAATCACTAGTTTAAGATAATTAATGTTATTAATTAAGAAGATAATTAAACATATAATTATCCTTTTTTATTATATGCAATTTTTTTTAGAAAACTTGATACATATCTCTTTTATCCCGCTCCTCTCATACATATCCATATAATTAAATGTGAATACAAAGTAAACAACAAAAATTTATTTATTAGTGTGCTTACAAGTGGTAGGTTTTAGTTTTATTGATTTAGTTTGTGTTCACAAATTATATCGGATGTCGTAAATTTAAAATACGTTCATAAATTATGATAATATTTTTATAAAAATGTTTACAATATGGCCACCTTATATATATATATATATATATATATATATGTATATTTTCAGTTAAAGGATTGGATAATGCATACGAGAATACTTGATGGCATAGTCTTTGTATTTGTACGTCCAGGTCAACAACATAAATGTGAACATGATTCCTAATAATTTTCAATTATTTTGACTTAAAAAAGAAAAGAGCATACTTTATTGCGAATTATTAACCAAAAAACTATACCTACATCAGATTTTCTAGAAGGAGACCACATCATCGTGTCCCTTGCGAAAATATGATTTACTTTCCTTTCCTCTAGATTTTATTATCAAGATATCAACAGTGAGACAGCTTTTTTTTATTTATTAACCTCGATATCTAATCCGTAATGCGAGCCGATTAATTCTAGGACAACCACCTGTTTTGCAGATAGCCTGTAGTGATTGCATTTGAACCTCCGTGGTCACTAAGGGATTTTTATTCCTTTTTGGGTTTGAACATGAGACGTACCTCGTAGTACTTTTGATTTTAAAGCCAAGTTCAAACCAATCAAAGATCACTGGTGTATGTAGATGCTTACTGCTCCCATAAATACACCCATCTTCACCTCCCTCAATTATCACTTTTGAATCACATTCATCGTATCTGTAATTTCCGATGTCTGATCCTCCTCCATCCTTCTCTGGCATACGGAAGCTTGGCTCTTCTTCTACTACGACTAAACCCTTATCCTCCCAACACCAGCTACACCAGAAACCTCCATCGTATCAAGACTTCGATCCACGTGCAAAGAATTCGAATGCTCAAACGGCAGCCTCTGCAGCCAAGGCACCATCGGCGGGAGACCTTACTCACCCCGACAATAAATGATTTTATCTTAATTAATTAATTAATGTATCTTTAAGTTGTTGCATTGTAATGCATCTTAATTTCTATGATAATAGCTAAGATTATATGTTGTTGAAACTCTGGTCTCCTTTTACTCTTCATCATATGCTTTTAATGCTTAAACGTTTCCGGCGATTTCATTTCCGTATGGTAGCTCAAACAATCACTGATGGATTAGTAATAACCCTAACTAAATAGTAATAATTTTCTGTTTTAATTATTATGTTATGAGTAGGTAATCCGTCATGATCACCGGGGGTACGTACACAAAAAACATTTCAATTTTTTTATTTAATCTTCGGCAATCCATCCATGAGTAACGGTCGATGATTCATCGGTATCTTCACTCTCGAAACTTTATCCGATAAACTTTTAGCGACAGATTTGTCTATCAGGAGTGAATAAGTGATAGCCCTCAAAATTGCAGTGACGTGAACACTGTGGATGCAAAAGCGTGTTGATCAGTGTGTGTGAATGGGACTTGGATGCAAAATCGTGTTAATTGGTGTGTCTATTAATATAAAAAGTCGTCGTAAACAAGTAAAGTAAAGTTTATTATATAATGTGAGAGAATAAAACATAAAAAAATGAAAAACTGATCTAAAAAAAATAAAACATCCTATCTAAAGTGTTATAATAATTTTATATGACGTCGTAATAAGTTTTTTAAGACACTTTTAATATAAAGCGTCCCATTAGCAATTTTATAGGAAACTATTTGAAAAACTGTCCTACAAAAACAAATGTTCTAAAAAAAATTGAATTTATAGGACACTTTCTCAAAAAGTGTTCTATAAAGTCGCTGATGTGACACTTTGTATTAAAAAAGTTCTAAAAAACTTGTTATTACAACATCTTTAAATAGGATGCTTTATAAATTAAGTCCTATAAAACGGTTTATTGGGACATTTAGAGATTACGGGCTTTCTATAAACCCAATTTTATTGTAGTGGTTATTAGAGGGGGGGTATTTTTGACTAAATTATAACTACCGTATAATTCATACATGTGGCGTATCATTGTGTTTCTTGAATATCATTCATTTTCTTTTCCCTTCTCTTTCATTTTTCCTCTGGTTTTTACTTGACAATAATCGATCGGAAACACCATCTATGTCTTCTCCATTTTCATTCCAAGATTATTATGTTCACTTACAAATCCCCCTACAAGATATAGCATCCGCCACCAACAACTTTGCTATTGAAAATCTCGTGGGAAAAGGTGAGTTTGGAAAATTTTACAAAGGACAACTGATCTTGCGGTCAGGACATGAGTCGTTGATAAATATTGTTGCACGGAGGTTGGATCGGAGCAATGGCGGTAGGCATGAGTATATAAAAGATCAGTTCTGGACAGAGATTTCGATGCTTTTTCGTCTCAAGCATCAAAATCTAGTCTCTTTTGTTGGGTTTTGTGATGAGGATGGTGAGAAGATAGTCATAACCAAGTATGCGGTAAATGGAAGTCTTGACAAATATCTAAACAGCCCAACCCTCACATGGATGCAAAGATTACGCATATGCGTTGATGCAGCACGTGCTTTGAATTACATCCATTACGATACAAGACACAATTTTCGTGTCATACATCGTAACATCAAGAGCTCCACGATTTTACTAGATGAAAATTGGGATGCCAGGTTAAGTGGTTTTGAACTTTCCACAGCAACTCGGAGGCAGAGGTTTGTCCTGTCACCAGTTTGTGGCACGTTTGGCTACCTAGACCCAGTACATACGGAGACGGGAAGTGTTACACAGAAATCTGATGTTTACGCTTTCGGTGTCGTATTATTTGAAGTCCTTTGTGGGAGGAAAGCACAAATTTACAGCAAAGATAATAGACCTGAATATTTAGCTCCATTGGCCACAAAGCATTACGAAGATAAAAGCTTGGATGAGATAATTGATCCTGATCTAAGGAAACAAATGGACCGACAATCACTCTCCATCTTCTCACACACTGCATACCAATGCTTGAACAGACAACGAGCACAACGTCCAAACATGGAAGATGTTGTGAAAACACTAGAGAAAGCGTCACAACTTCAATGGAAACATGAAAATCCTGTAAGTATATATATATATAGACCCTCGATCTACATCTACCTTGTGTTTTATAATTAATTAACATAGTACATGTATATATATTGATTAATTTATTTTCCATCTCAAAGACCAGAGTTGAGGGTACATCGTCCAACCACCTCCTCAAGGTAACTTACTAATTTCTTACCACCTTCATCTATGTTAATAGCCTCGTTCGGTCCAGAGTTGAGGGTACATGCATCTATTCTTATTAGCATGTATAGACAGCAACCCTCTCCTTTTTCCTTTAACATGCAATGTTGTAGGGGGAAAACTTGGAACACTTGAAGATTCAACTCAAAGATATTGTGTTGGCTACCGAAAATTTTGCTGATACATACTGTATCGGGTCAGGCGCATATGGTATGGTGTACATAGCAGAACTCGATCATTTTGACAGCAAAAGTTGGTCGGCAAGAGAATGGAAAAATAAAGATGAATTGCCCAAGAAACGCTCAAGTGTAGCCATCAAAAAAATCATTAGCAGACAAGATGGGGAAGGAGAACAAGGGTTTTTTGCAGAAATTGAAATGCTTACTAGTTGTAAGCATAAGAATATAGTCTCTCTTCTTGGCTTTTGTGATGAAGGGCCTCATTTGATCCTTGTCTATGAGCTTGCTTCTAATGGAAGCCTTGATGATTTTTTAGGAAACACAAATAACATTACTACTCTTCTTTGGAAGCAACGTATAAAAGTATGTCTTGGTATTGCATGCGGATTGAATTACCTTCACACCACCATGGATGACAAAGAGAGGATTATTCACTGTGACATAAAGAGTGGCAACATTCTCTTGTACGAGAATTGGGAAGCGAAGATCGCTGATTTTGGGCTCTCCAGATTCCATCCTGCAAGCACTGTCAATACCAACAATATTGCAGGCACAGAAGTGTACTTAGATCCAGAATATTTGAAGACAGGTAAGTTGAAAAAGGAATCAGATACTTACTCTTTTGGGGTAGTAATGTTTGAACTCTTGTGTGGAAGGTTGGCATATGATGCAATTTATAATACCGACAATGACAAGGGGCTTCCATCCATCGTGCGACAACGTTTCAGTGAAGGGATATGTATGGATATGGTAGATCCAAAAATAAAGGAAGAAACTGATGACAACATCTTTACTCTAAACAGAGGACCCAATCAAAATTCTTTGGACACATTTTCAAAAATTGCATATCAATGTTTGGCAGAAACTCAAGCTGAGCGTCCAACAATGGAAGCCGTCATCAAGGAACTCGAGAAAGCTTTATACTTCCAAGTAAGTTAATGTTTTAGTATAATCTTTTTGTTCTCTAATTAAGTTCAAGAGCATAATCAAAACCATCATCAAGAACATCAAAACCAGCTTATCATCATTCTTCGTCGTCATTTTGAACACCTTATTTCCAATTGAGGTGTGGTCAAGCATTCTGATTTCCAAATTTAGTATTATTGGACCTGCTGGAAATGAGAATATGTATTTCAAGTTACCAATTATGTCAGTTTATATATTCTCCAACTATAGACTAAGTTGATTGAATGTCTGATGCTTGACAGGAAAACAACAAAGACAATCTCAAAATTTCACTTGAGGCCATAAAATTGGCCACACAAAACTTCAGCGATAGCAATTGCATTGGAGGAGGAGGTTTTGGGAAGGCATACAAAGGACAAGTTCCACATGGAAACGGACATAACATCATTGTTGCAAAGCGGTTGAAAGGACGTTATGGTGAAGGAGAAAATCAATTTTTGACAGAACTTGAAATTCTTTTCGAGTATAAACATGAGAAAGTCATTGGTCTTGCAGGCTATTGTGACGAAATGAATGAAAAGATCATTGTTTATGAGTATACAACTAGAGGAAGTCTCGATAGGTACTTGAATGATGATGGTCTTATGTGGATGAAACGGCTTGAGATATGCATTGATGTTGCAAGGGGGTTGGATTTCCTTCATGAGACTAGTATTGTAAAACAAGAAGTAGTGATACATAGGGACATCAAAAGCTCTAACATTCTACTAAATTGGGATTGGAAAGCCAAAATTACTGATTTTGGGCTTTCCTTAATATGTCCAATGTATCAGGAAGTGGACTACCTTATGGAGCATGTTACAGGCACGGTTGGCTATGTGGACCCACTATACATGGATACGGGTTTTTTAACCAAAGAATCTGATATATACTCGTTCGGTGTGGTTTTATTTGAGATCTTGTGCGGGAGATTAGCATTCATTCAACATCGCGATAATAACCCGCAGTTTCTAGCTCGGTTGGTTAAAGACAAGTTGGATAAAGGAAGGGTTGAGGAGATGGTGTTTGAGGGTATAAAGAAACAAATTGTGCCAGAATCATTGACTACATTTTGTAAGATTGCCTATCAATGCTTACATGATGACCGAGAAAAACGACCAACAGCAAGAGAGGTGATACTACAACTTGAGAAAGCATTAGAATTCCAAGTAAGTTTTCATAATGCAGGTTACAGAAAACAGTCCTTAAATTTATATATGTATGGTCATGGATATCGAAACCCGAATATATAAACCGAAAACAGAAAAGTTTCTTACAGTCAGGTTGGAATATGCAGGAGGATTATGAAGTATGGGAACCTAAATTACCCGCAGACTATAAACAAATAATCCAAATGTCAAAGTCTTCTGAAATCTACTCCGACAAAATGAAAAAGGATATCTACGATATGTTCTCCCAAGGAATTCTAGTTCAAGAGGGCAAAGTGGTATGTTTTCAAATCTTTTTCACATTAAGACATCTCTTAAGATCTGTTCCACTAACGCTAGAATTGAAGTATTCGTGCTCAATATCAGATTTCATCTACACACACACACACACTATTTTCTTGATTCTTTTGATGAAAATGGATCTTTTACATCGTGCAACAAAACGAATACGGTGAGTGATATTTCAAGTTCATACATTCATTTACACATGATAGAAATTGAGTTTGATTTGTTTTCTATAACAGTGGTTCTCATTCCACGGACATGGAGAAAGAAATGAATTAATATCAGCAAGAATGTTTTCATACAAAAACCGTAAGTCATATAAGTGGCGATCTGTTCCAAAATCAAGGTTCTTCTTCTCTCTCTCTCTCTCTCTCTCTCTCTATATATATATATATATATATATCACTTTATCATCCCTTGAATTTATAACTGTAAAAATGCGGGTACCTCATATATGTCATTTTATTTTTATAGTAGAAGTTTGTATATATCTGTCTTGTTCAGACGTAATGTCTTTGCAGGTTTCAGGTAGTGGCAAAGATGTTGGATATTTCAAATCTTAAGATTCAAGTTCAGATAAAAACTCAATTTTTGTCTCCGAATGTTGTATACGGAGTTCATCTGATCTTCAAGTTTTGTGATTCAAGAAAAATTTCAAATAAGCCAATGTATGTGAACCTCAAGTACAAAATGGAGAGCGAAACCTTACACACCTATTTCGCAACACTGAGAAAGGACACGTGGATGATGATCGAATTGGGCCGGTTCTTGAATCACAAGGAAGGTATTGATTTGGAGGTTCTATTAGAGAGCTTTTCAAGCTACTATTGTGGAAGTGGTGCCATCTATGTTGAAGGCATTGAATTTCAAGCCGTGGATAATGTAAGTTTTGACCTTTCATTCCTCTTCTTGATTCTTGAAGTGAAAAAAGATGTAAGGGCAACATTTCCATGTTCAGTTCTACCCGATTAACATATACAGTCCTACAATTTTTACACAGGTAAGACATGAAGACAATGAAAAGCTAAGAGAGGTGCAAGGAGTATTGACATCAAAGGTGAGCATGGTTTGTGTACAACAATTGTCAACTTACAGAGCCAGACGTAGGGATTTTAAGAATTTTTAAAAAAGATTCACCAAGTCGAGACGATTAAATGTTGGCATGGCACGGGACACCTTATGTCCTTGCATAGGTCCTCCACTGCAATGATTCTCTAGAAATGCCCAATGGCGGTAAAGAGGATCTCCATCACATTCCAATTGATCGATGAGGCTGAATAGGACTCTTGATTGACAACAGTACAATTTGATATGCATATATGGCAACTCAAGATTGAAATATTCTCCATTATTTTGCAATGACATACTCTCAACTCTTCTGATGAATTAATAGTTGTGGCTAAGCAAAGTGGATGGGAAGAAATGTCACATGCTTCCGGCAAAGGATGTTCTATACGACTCTTCTAACGACAAGTTCTTTAACTGGAAACCCTCAACCGAATCCAGGTTTGTTTCTCGAATTCACGTCTTCTCCCTCTAACGGTTAAACCTTTTCTTCCATATTCTTCTTTTATACCCATTAAATTAAGTACTTTTACTTTTTGCTTCCTCATGATGAAGTAGATTTCATACACATGACATATGGTACATGCAGATTTCAAGAGGTGATTGAGGTTTTGCCAAGACAAGTGTTTGGTATCAAGTGCAAGATTGAAAGTCAAATGTTGTCACCAAATACAGATTACGTATGTTACCTTGTGTTCAAGCTTTCGGAAAGATGTCGTGGGTTGCATTGTCCGGTGAAAGTACGGAATCTACTCCACCGGAAAAACAAAGAAATTGGAATTGTATATTTTAGATTCCCAAGCCTGTGGAATATACTTGATACCGATCGGGTTCCAAGAAGGAGGGAAGATGGATGGATGGAGGTTAATGTGTGGAAATTCAACTCAAATGATGGGATCAGACATGATTCTATTCCTGTAAATTTGAAACTCATAAGCTACGAAGAAACCATGTCTGGCCTTGTTGTATGTGGTCTTGAGATCCGACCGATGTAGGAAGGGTCATGTTGCATGTGGCATTGGAATATATAGTATCAGAAAAACACACACAAGCACGATATACGAGATAAAGAAACACGGTCAACAAAGCTAATTAATGACCTTAAAAGCTCGAGACAAGCACCCGATAAACATTTTTGTAATTATCAATTATTTTATGATTTATAATATAAATATGTATTTATCTCATTTAGAAAAAAGCCTATAATCCCATTGTACTGAAATGAAAAATCTGAAGGGGTGTTTACTTATGATTGAATGGGCTTATTTGCACAGACGTTTTGGAGTATTCACTTACATCTTAATGAAATGAGTGGTGGCCTATTTGCACAACTAGAATTGTTATGTTGTTCTCATTAAGCCAAAAAAATGATATCCCTACCCTTGTTAAAAATCACGCCTCCCTTCAAATCCCTACCCACACGTCGTTGCTTCCCCCATTTGCTACATGGCGACCTTCAAACCCTAGCCACACATCGTGTCTTCCCCCATTTGCTACACGGCAACATTCGAACCCTAGCCACATATCGTTGCTTCCCCCATTGGTTTTCATCAACAAAGGTATTGGTTTCTTCCTTTTTATCTATGTTTTTTTCCTTCCTTTTTTCATGAAAGGTATTGATTCCTTGAAAAAAAAATCTCATCACAAGGTACGATTTCAAGGTACCAGATGGAGCTAGTGATCGAACAATTAAAACCCACAAAAATTATGAATAGAAAGGCAAAAAGAACGAGAAAATTATGAAGTTCAGATAGAGAGAAAACAAAACAGAGATCAAGAAGGGTTTCAAATGCAAAAATTTGAAGATGGTACTCTTGGGGTTCTTTAATTCTAAAACTGTTTGTTTAGGGTTCTTCATTTTTATAAGGAACCAAGCTGTTGTTTATTTTGCTATTAGTTCAATCAAAGATCGTTGCTAGGTAAAATGTTTAGTTCATTCGAGGGTAAAATGGTCAATTATGTCATTCAGATCGTGGTTTAGAAGAAAAAAGAAACAACAATACATTTTTATCGAAACAGACAAATTTACCTAAACAAATAAATTTACCCACACACATTCAAAAATGTTTTCATCGTGACTATTATTCTCACATAATTTAAAATTCGTTTAAAAGAAATTAATTGTTGATATGGTCTTTATATAATTATATGTAAGTCCAAGTAAACGTCAATGTGAACATGCATCATGTTTGAAAATCGTCAATTATTTAAAGGGTGGTGATAATTAATTTATTTGTGAATTATTAACGTCATATAATATGACATGACATGACATGCCATACCTCTAGCGATGTTAATAATTGTTTAAAAAATAAAAAATAAAAAATAAAATCAAATTGAATGAAAAAATAATGTATTTTAACTTGAATTAGTCTTTTTTTAATCTAAAATTACTCTTTTTTTTAATTTAAAATTAGTCTTCAATCGGTAATTACTCGGATACTTAAATATTTAAAATTTTACATCTTATGTACCAAAATGAAAGTTTTGAAAGTACATTATTTAAAATAGAAATCAAGTTAAAGTGCATTATTTTTCATGCAAATTGCTCAAGTTAAAGTGCGTTATTTTTCATGCAAATTGCTCAAATTAAAGTGCGTTATTTCAAGGATTAACAATGAAATTAATGTATCTTCTTAATTATGGATTCATTCATAAAATTACACCTAGACTTGGGATCATGTAAAACCAAAAGTTTTTCTTGAGTCCTGTAAGACCAATTCTCAATCCTTGGATTAGATCTATAATCTGAACATTCATAATTACAAAATTGCCATGAGACTTTTCAATAATCACAAAATTGCTACCATACAACTTTAGACTATTAGATCATTAGTTTTTAAAGTTGATCAATGAATATAAATTGGTCTTACGGATCTCATGAAAAACCGTTGGTCTCACATGAACCCAACCCACTGCACTTATATTTCATTCATTAAACTATTGTTATACTTATAGTAAATGAATTGGTATAAATAGAGCCATTTCCTCAACCGTTTTGGAATCACATTCATCATCTCTTCTTCCTCTCCCCTCTCTCTCTCTCTCTCTCTCTCTCTATATATATATATATATAGAGGGTGGTTCAAATACTAACCCAATATTTTGTACAAACTTTACTAATGATAAGCTTATATTTAAACATGTTTTTATAATGAATCTAGTACAAATTGTAATGTTTATATAGCTTATAGAACCCCTTTAATTTAGTTATTGATTGGTCTTTGATAAGTGCAAAAAGGATGGATTTTAATACAAACAGAGCATATATTTCGAAACTGTTACAAGGTCAGGCATAGTTTTCTGAAGGAATATGAGGCTGAGCATATTTATGAAATGGGTTGTGGAAAGGCATACGAATTCAAATGGCGTGAAAAGGAAGCATATTTTCTCAAACGWTTTTAATAAAACCCATCTGCAGCAGTCTAAACAAAACAGCAAAACAGAGGCTGTTTTCTATTTCTTGAGGAGGAGAACGTGGGTTTCRAAGGAGAAGAACGTGGGATCGTGAGAAAAGGAGAAGACAATAGTTCGTGGGGTTCAAGATGGAGAAGATGGGTGCTATCGATCGATCTGAGAGGAACGTGATGGAAGAGATGGAGGCTGGTTCATTATATAAAGAACGAGGTCAATCGAGAGGAGGAATCGATCGAAGGGGGCTGGACAGCAGAATCGAGCAGCCGAGAAGGAGCAAAAGGGAGAAACGATTTTGGGAAGAACATCTCACCCAATTTCACCCAATTTCACCCAATTTCTTAGGTATTTTCCTTAATTATTGCAATTGGTAATCTAGGTTTAGCCATGTGTGGCTAAACCCTTTTTCTTTCCAACATTAGTTGCTTAGRTTTTGATTGTGGTTACTTTGAGACTCCATTATAATCGTTTGGGATGAAATTATATGTTTGATTTCCATTTTAATGTCAATTTCATTTTGAGTATTGAGTAATCTGGCCAATTTCTTGATGTTCTTATGAAATAGTATTATTCAAAAGTTGAGATACGTAATCGTCTTTACATTTTGATAAAGTAACAWTTAAATCTATTTGGTTTCGTTGAGGTTTCCGAATTAGATTTTTGAAATCTTGCATCCAAAGCCTCATTAAGCCGAGCTTATGAGCTTAWGGCTTTGAGTTGATGTTTTTCTAGCCCTATAAAGCTAATTGCACATTTTTAGACTTGAGAGCTTATTCAACGTCTTAATTGCGATTAAGATCCGGCTAAAGAGCTTGTTTTA